ATAGTTGTGAGGCTGTGAAGAAATACAAGGACACTCAGTCTAAGGCTTCCAAAAGGCAGTGACATTTAATTTGAATTACATTGGGATTGCTAGAAGAGGCCGGGGAAGCGGCCAAGGTAGAGGAAATGTCTATATGACGATTCCTGACGGAAAAAGAAAGAGCTGGGCAGACTTGGGGTACCAAAAGATCGTGCACAAAGTGGGAGGGGCCGCGGCCATGGAGCCTGGACCGGCAGGGGCAGGGCCTGGGGGACACATTCTCTCTCTGGATCCTGAAGCGGTAGCCGGCAGCAGCACAAGACAGGAGTTATCTTCATTTTACATGTTGAGAAACAAGGGCCAGAGAAAGGAAGTGACTCAGACAAGATCAATGGCAATAGGAGGGCAGGTCCGGGACTAGAACCAAACTCCTAACTGCAAGACCAGCATTCTTGCCACTATTCCCCAGGTGCTGCAACTTTTCAGACCGCTTCTCTGGGCAGTGAGGGTTTCAGTGGGGCTTTGCGGTGGGTCCTTTAGAAAAACTGTTTTCTGACAGGAGTCTGAGTCCTTTTGGAGGCAGGTGTAGATTTTTCCAGATGGTCAGACCTGAGGGAAGCTGCTTAGAGAAAGGAAGGGATCAGAGGAGGACTGCAAGTTCAGAGAATCGAGTCTGGACTGAAAAAGAACATGGGAGTCCACTGAGCTTGCCCTGCTCCCCGCTCCCTGCCCCCAGCTGCAGACACCGCTGCAGTCCCCCTGCCTTGCTCCTGGCTCAGTGAGCAGCTCCTTCAGGAGGTGCAGCCATGCTCTCACTCAGTTCCTAGTATCAAAATGTTCTCAGCCTTTCCCGGGAGCACTCCAAGACCAGCCCAGAGAGATGTGCCCTCATGCAGCTGTAGCCTGTAGCACCCCTCCCCCAGGCCCTTCTCCACTCCTCTCCAGCACCCCTCACCCCCATCTCATTTCCCCTCTAAACACCCCTTTCTCCAGATGAGACTTGTCAGGTTCTCCTCCTGCCGGAACCTATTTCACTGGCATTTCTGGATCTCAGGGAACACCTGGGTGGGGGAATTGGGGCTGTGGGGTCCAGATTCATCCAGAATGGTGGGGGGTTACTGGCAGGGGCAGTAGGTTGGGAACACCATTGGGGGTTGGTAGCATATTTAAAGACTGAGCTCATAGATACTGGGGAGGAGCTTCAGCGACTCCAGGCATGTCACACTCTTTTCTCCCCTTCCCCATCAGGCTGGAAATCTGAGGACAGTAGAGGACTGGCTGAAGAAATTAAGGTATGAAATATTAAGCATTTACTAAAAAACGAGGAAGATGTGTTGTTAATGATTTGAAATGTTCTGCAAACTGTATTCTTTGTTTAAAAAAAGTTCAAACCAATGGGTATAACACACTTCTATTTGTATGTGTTTTCTTTTTTCTTCTCACCTGAGGACATTTTTCCATTATTTGTTCAGATAGAGTGGGAGGGAGAGAGAGAGAAACATCAACGTGAAAGGGACACATCAAGCGGCTGCCACCCGCACAACCCAACCAGGGCCAGGGACAAACTGCAACCGAGGTACGCGCCCTTAGCGGGAACCGAACCCGGGTTTCTCTGGACCAGAGGCCGACGCTCCAACCACTGAGCCAAACCGGCCAGGGCCATTTGTGTGTGTTTTCAAAAGACTATGGAAACAGTGGTTGCCTCTCATGGGGTCCTGGGATGCTGGGAGTGGGAGGGCTTTACTTTTTCTTTTCTTATAAATTAAAATTATTGATTTATAAACAGATGTTAATAGTATGCTTTGTTGTATTATGGGCTTTACTTTTTCAATTAATGTGTGTGAAACAAAGTAGGCTGGGCTCTCTGCTCTTCATCTCATCATGTCCTCTTTTGTTCCTGGCCCATCTGCCTATGTGCTCCCGGATACTGCCCAGCCAATCCAGTTGCCTGCCTGTCACAGCCCAGCTAGGATCACGCTCCGCTTGCCAGTGAGGAGGAATGAGCCCTTCCCTGTCAGGCCACAAGGGGGCAGCCGATGCCTAGGACATACCTTGGGTAGGCCAGGCAGCTGGGAAAACCACCAGGTCACTGGGATCTAAGGGGAGTTCCAATGCCCCTTCTACCCAGGGCTCCTGGGGCAGGAAGAGTCTTAGTCTCACCCAGGTCCCCAGGGAACAAGACAGAGAGTGGGTCCTGAAGATGGTCATGGAATTGTCCCATCTTTATAACACTAAGCAGGCCCCAACCACCCTTTCCATGCTGGTTCTAGGACTGCAAGATGAGGGGTGGTCACTTGTCAGGGGCACAGACTCACTCAGATGTCTGGAGGCCAGGAATTCCATAAGAAGGGGATCTCCCATTTTAATCCTGCCCCCAAACACATCCAGCAGCCAGTCGTGGGCAACCACCCATCTACTTTCTGTCTCTATAGATTTGCCCATTTTAGACATTTCACATAAATGGAATCATATATTACGTAGTCTTGTGTCCGGCTTCTCAGCATGTTTTTGAGGTCCATTCATGTTGTAGCATGTATCAGTACTTCATTCCTTTTTATTGGAGAACAATACCCATTGTCTGGACAGATCACCTTTCGTTATCCAGCTGACGGACATTTGGGTTGTTTCCATTTGGGAGCTATTATGAATAACGCTACTACGAACACTGTATACAAGTCTCTGTGCGCGTCTTTCCATTTTTCTCGAGTGGGTACCTAGAAGTCAAATTGCTGGGCTTTGTTAGGTTTATGTTTAACATTTTGAGGAACTGCCAGGCTGCTTTCCAAAGCAGCTGCACCATTTTACATTCCTACCAGCAGTGACTAGGGCTTCCAAGTACTCCACATCCTTGCTGACACTTGTAATTAACGTTTTTATTATAACCTTTTTAATGGATGTGATGTAGTATCTGCTCATGGCATTGCTTTGCATTTCCCTAGTGACTAATTATGTTAAGCATTTTTTTCCATGGGCTTGTTGGCCTTTCAACCTGGGGATATGATGGGTCAACTGCATATTTATTTTAAAAAATCCAAGTGGACCTGTGTAGTTCAAACACATTATTCAAGGGTCAACTATATGATTTGCAAATATTGTCTCCCAGTGTTAACATTTTGATTTTGTCCTTGGAAGCAAACTTTTAAAAAAATTTTGCTAAAGCCTAACTTATCTTCATCATTTTTTGTGTGTCGTATCTAAAAATCATTGCCTAACCCAAGGCCAGCATGAAGACTCATGATTTCCTCTAAGAGTTTTAGTTTTAACTCTTACATTTAGGTCCATGATTCATTTTGAGTTAACTTTTATATACAGTGTGGGGTCATGGTCCAAATTTGTTCTTTTGCATGTGGATACTCAGTTGTACTGATACCATTTAAAAAGACCATTCTTTTCCCATTGAATTATCTTGGCCCCTTTGTGGAAAAATCAACTGACCATAAATGTTAGGGTTTATTTCTGGACTCTCCGTTTCAATTCTATTCCATTGATTCCAAATATCTATTTTATTTTATTTTATTTTATTTTTTTTATCCTCACCCGAGGACATTTTTCCATTTTTTGTTCAGGTAGAGTGGGAGGGAGAGAGAGGAACAGAGAGAGAGAAACATCGATGTGAAAGGGACACATTGAGTGGTCGCCACCTGCACAACCAACCAGGGCCAGGGACAAACTGCAACCGAGGTACATGCCCTTAGCGGGAACTGAACCCGGGTCTCTCCGGACTGCAGGCTGATGCTCTAACCGCTGAGCAAAACCGGCCAGGGCTAAATATCTATTTTATTTATTTATAAAAGTATTGATTTGAGAGAGAGAGAAACATCAATATGTTGTTTCAGTTATTAATACATTTATTGGTTGATTTTTTTTTTTTTTAATCCTCACCTGAGGACATTTTTTTGATATTTTGTTCAGATAGAGTGGGAGGGAGAAAGAGAGAAACATCGACGTGAAAGGGACACATCGAATGGTCACCACCCACACGACCCAACCAGGGCCGGGGACAAACTACAACTGAGGTATGTGCCCTTAGCGGGAACCGAACCCGGATCTCTCCAGACCATAGGCCGACGCTCTAACCACTGAGCCAAACTGGCCAGGGCCATTGGCTGATTCTTATATGTGCCCTTACTGGGGATCAAACCCACAACCTTAGCATATTGGGACGATGCTCTAGCCAACTGAGCGACCTGGCTAGGGCCCAAATACCTGTTTGAGTTAGGGCTCCCTTTTTGAGTCAGTAACAGAATAGAGGCTAAAACAGCTCATTTACCTGAATTTCCACTCTGGACTTTTGGAGGAGCTGGGTGGGGGTGCTGCACTCAGGGCCTACTCCAGGGGAGCTGGCCTGTCAGGGAGGACAGAGTTTGAGGCTGTGGGGACAGGACCATGAAATGAACAAGGTTTTCCTGCCCCCTCTCCCGGAGCCGCAGTTGTCTGCCTGCTGCTCACATTCCTGCACAGCCCCTGCCCTGGAGGCCCCAGGAGGGAGGGCTGGAGAGGGAGGGCACTGGGAAAGAATGTGATGCCTTACATGGCAGTCAGGAGGGAGAAGGCGCAGCGCCCTCCCTGCCCACCCCACCTGCCTGGACAGTCTGTGGGCTCTTCAGCCACCTGCCTACGTTAGCACCTCCCATTCTCCAGCTGCCCTGAGGAACCAAGGCCAAGGGCATCAGGGCTCAAAATAGCCAGGCTGCTGAGCCCTGAAGAGCACAACTGGAAGCGAGAGAGAGGGCAGGCAGATGCCCAGACCCCCACAAACCTCTGCTGTTTGGGTGTAGTGAGTGAAGGGGAGATGAGGCTGGGTCCCTAAGTCCTCTCCCATCATGGGTAGTGTTTGCAAAACTGCCTTGGCTCATGGGAGGGGAGGCGTCTGAGAAGCTTGAGATAAGGTGAGAACCTCACAAAATAACCGCCACTGTAGCTGTGCCTTTGATCAGAGAGAAGTAGAGATGCTGGAGGAGAGAGGGAGAGTACGAAGCAGGGGCTGTGGGTACAGAGACAGGCAGCCTCCCTCCGTAGAGTCAAACACTTTATTCAGCACAGGAATGTCTGAACAGAGGCCTTGGGCAGGGTTCCCGACAAGGAACTCTACTTCAAGCCCCACTGCAAACAGAACAATCATCATGTAAACCATGGGGACCACGGGGAGGGGCTGCGCACAATGTCTGGGTCAGGTCACACTGGCCAGCACATGGTAAAGCTGGGGCAACTGGGGCGGATGGCCCGCACCCAGGGCCAGCCCAGCCTGGGACGGTGGAGGGAGCAGCTCCAAGTAGCTCACTAAGGTAAGCCAGGGTGGGAGGAGGGCAGAGGCCCGGCCAGTTCAGGGGATGATCTCGGCCACTGAAAGGGACTGGATCAATTTAGCTCAAGCAGCCAGGGCTGCTGTGTCAACACAAGTTTAAAAAGCCCTAAGATCCATAGCCAGTGTGGGGGTGACAGGGGAGCTGGCCCCTCGGGGTCATCACTGGCTCACGGGCAGGGCTGTGCAGCTCACAGCCACATGCCCCGCAGCCCTGCCAGTCACCTCCAATCAGCAAGCTGTAGATGACACTGACCGTCCCTGCCCAGGACCTCACTTCCTCAACTTGGGCTCACGGTGGAAGAGGGAAGGGGCACTAGTGGGCACAGCAAGGCTGGTCTGCCAGAGAACCACCCTTGACAACTACAGTCCTTCACTGAAGATCCATGATTTGGGGTGGGGAAAGGTCTCAGGGTCTGCACCAGGAGGAGCATCAGTTTAAACCCTCTGCCCAGAGGACATGTTTATTGCAGGGCCCTCAGATGGCCTGAGAAACAGCCAGCCAGGACCTCTGTTTTGGGGCCCTCCCAGCTGTGCCATTATGCAGGGTGCACATGGGGGAGGGGGAGACTGGGATTCTGAGAGGGAGGGGGAGAGGGTAAGAGTGTAGAGTGGAGGTTAGGAAGGTGATGTCGGTACCCTGGGACCCTTGGGGGTGACAAGGAGAAGCCATGCATGATGGCACAGTGGGGTCCCGCTGAATTCCTGATTAACAAATGCTCTGAGGACCAGAGGTGGGAGGCAGAAGACAGAAATACCATCTTCCTGGGCCCACTCCTGCTAACCCACCACGACCAGTAATGAGAATGGCAGGAGCAGAGCTCCTTCCATGGGCTTTGGGCTCGTATGTAAATACACACGGTCACCACCAGGCCACCGAGGGGAGCTGTCTTGGGCTGGAAGGAGATTGGGAGGGCAAGGCTGGTGCCCAGGGGTGTGAGTGACAGCCAGAGCCCAGCCTCTCTAGAAAATCACTACACAACAAACACACAGCTGAGGTGGCAGGGGACCCACGGGAGGGCCGGATCTAACTAAGTGACTCACAAGCAGCTGGGGGAGGGTGGCAAGAATGACACAAATGCTCCAAAATCCAGGGATCACAACCAACACGCAGAAAAGCACAGCTAATCACCATGGAGTGGGTGGGGGAGGGCAGTGGGCACACAGCCCCGTGAGGGCTCACTCGTCAAACTTCCCTTCCCGAATATGCTCGAAGGAGAAGGGTAGGAACTTGAAACCGGTCCCGCTGTAGAATTTATTCTGGAACTCGACCCTGGGGAAAGGGAAGAAGAAAGTCATCATCCCACAGAAACCTTTTGGGATTTCCCATTTGGGCCAGAAAGATGCCCAACCCCACGACCTCCGAAGCCTTCCTTTCCTAGCTGAGCTTGGGACGGCAGCTCGGCCTACTGCCGCCTCTGCCAGCCCACCCAGCCCAGACCTCGGCGACTTCTCCCAGGGCACACAGCCCTGCTTCTGCGGCCGGGCCTGCCCTCAGCAAGGGCACTGCACCAATGCACTGGTGTGTCCTCCGTTCCTGCTCTGACCTGCTGAGCAGAGAGCCGTGTGCGAGAGTTCAGCTGGCTCGAGTTTGACAGCAAAGAAGAAGGGCCCCCAAACACCGTAGCCTGGCAGGGCTCACAGCAGGCCTGGGAGGGAAACCCCGGAGCGGTGAACTCAGCTCCAGGAACCCAACGAGCACCACTGTTTTCTTGCTTATCTGTTTCCTTGGGGGGAGGAAGGAGAAAGGAGGTGTCTGAGTGAACAGCAGAGCCTTGCGGTTTAGGGGAGGAAATTCCCAGGAAAGGGGGGAAGTCAGGAGGGGAAGTCTCCTCAAAGCTTTGGCCAAAATATGCTCCAACTACAAAAACATCTGAGAAAAAATTCTTCTCTTGGGGACTGAAAGGAAAAACAGCTTCAACTCCCTTCCCAGGCAGCTCAGTGTCCATCCCTGCCGGTGTCCCTGGGGCCCTCTCAACTGGAGGGAAGAAGAGTGTGCTCCTGTGAGCACTTGGCTGTGCTTCCCCCGCAAACTCGCCCTGGATGGCTGCCCAGCAACCAAATCAGCACCAAATAAGGGCAGAAAAATGCATGATTCAGAGGACAGAAAAGCCAAGGAGAGCTGCCCTGCGGAATAGTTTCCACTGGGGCTGTGCGACCCTGGGGGCATCAGAACCCCTGCAAGAACAGGCGAGGGGGGAGGTAGGCGGTGTGCACAAGGCTTCCTCCTCCCTCTGAACCCTGAGCCCCGAGGGGACCGAGCAGTCAGGGGAAACTGTGGGGAGTTTGCGGGCATCAGGGCTGTCTGCAGGTGGCACCGAGAGGGCCCTGGGGTGCTGGCCCAGGACAGTGACGGCAGAGCTGCAGCTCCATCCCCAGGAGCAGAGGTGAACAATGTTCCCTGAGGCCCCAGGACAGGTGGCCTTCTCTCCCAGCCACATTCCAGGGGCTGGGCCAAGGTCCCCAAGCATCCCAGACTCTGGAGAATTCCCATTTGTTCCTGGGCCAAGCCCCCAGGATCCAGGAGGGTGTGTTTCAAACTGAAGCCAGTCACAAGATTCTGGGCAAGAGCAATCCAAACCGGGACCTGACTTCACCTCACATCCCAAAACTCCTAAGAGATCCTTCTGCCAGTTCCAGCTACTGGGTCTCCTCTGGGGAAAGGCGGCGGGGATGGGGCCAGGTCCCTGCTTGTCACCTGCCGCTGTTAGGTCTAAATTCTTTTTTTACATTTTTTTTTATCCTCACCTGAGGACATTTTTGCATTTATCTTTAGATAGAGCAGGAGGGAGAGAGGGAGGAAGAGAGAGAGGAACATCGACATGAGAGAGACACATCGAGTGGATGCCACCCACATGACCCCAACTGGGGCCAGGGACAAACTGCAACCGAGGTACGTGCCCTTAGCAGGAACCGAACCCGGGTCTCTCCAGACTGCAGGCCTACGCTCCAACCGCTGAGCCAAACCAGCCAGGGCTGGAGGAGAAGTTTTCAGATACTTGTGGGCTCACCACCTTTCTCCTGCCATCCCTCTGTGAGGCCTAGGGTGGCCACCACTAGGGATATCCTGGGCATCTCTGGGCCAGCCTGACTTCACCTTCCTTCTCTGCTGTGCTCACCCAACCTCCTGGCACAGAGCTGGAAAGCGATTTCCCTGTGGGTCTTCCCACCCCCTTCGCCCTTCCAACCAGGGAAATGTGTGCTTCCTGAGAAAGTACAAACACGAAGTTCTCTGTGTGAGGGTGCAGCGGGGCCTCACTGGCGCCCTGCAAGTTTTTCCTTCATTAAGGGCTCTGCTTGGGGCGCCTCCAGGCCCTACCATGCTCCAAGCTACCAAAACACACCTCAGAATTTCACAGTGGTGAGGACAGCCCCAGGCAGTCGGATGACTCTCTATCACCCCTTCCAGCGCCAGCACCTGGCAAAGGCCACCCAGTGACCCAGAGGACAACTGGGAGCCTGCAGAGATCCTCCTGCTATGTAACAGGAAACCGTGTTTCCTTGAGTGAGTGAAGGGGGAAGAGTTCCGGGGCTCATTCACTGTCCTGGCAGGGGGGTGACTGAGGGGAGGCCGGTTCAGAAAGATGATTCTAGGCCCAGCTGCTTCTCTGACCCTTTCTGTCACTCTCTGAGCAGCTCAGGGCCTGGAACACATGTCTGCCTGATGGCCCGTGTGTCCAGACTACATTTTAGGTGTTCTTACTTTGGGAGCAGCCAATCATTCACTCAGCTATCCCATGGTGTCCTGCCTACTGCATTCCTCACAGCAAACTGGTCCCCGTTCTGTCCCTTTAGCCATCAACCGACCTGTGAGTGTGCAAGGGCACACACCTACACGCATGGGGTCTGCTGGATAAGGTGCCCCAGGGAACAGTCTTCCTGCTAAAATCAGTTTGGTGCCCGCAATTATAACTACAAATCATATCCCTGCCTTTGCCTTTTCTGAGGAAGAAAAGACATCTCGTTAGGGTGGTGGGAAAGCCCACCCCCTTTACATCGCTGGAGAAGAGAGGGACACACACTCAGTAGGAGACGGAGCTAGCAGGTTGGCACATTAACCTGCTCGCTGTTGTTTTCAAATGTCACCCACCTCCTTCTGACCCTACATGGATCTCAGACTAATGGTCTATATTTGGTATCAAATAACGTTTTCTTCTTGTTCTCACGGAAGAGACCCAGAACTTGTATAACGGGGCAGCCCGTGCGTCAGAATCAGGAAACCCCGGCTGAATACCAGGGGTAAGGTGACAAGTATGAAGGCATCCAGGCTGACACCAGGAAAAACAGCAAGCATGTCCCCACAGCCATTTTCAGCAGGACCAGCTGTTCCTACCCCTCACCAGAGGGCTGCAGCTCAGAATTCCTGTCTCCCCAGGAGGCTCAGGCATGCCTGAAGCACATCCACGTTTGGCCAGGAGGGGGTGCACGAGCACCAATTCATTCCCTTCTTTTGCGTGGTGGGGATGAGCTCTACACACGCCTTCCCTTCGACAGAATTAGAAAAGTTCCTGCACAAAGCAGTTTTCGCTGTTTTTCCCTATTCTACCGAATACTTGCACTACCAAACCCCAGAAGTGCAATGTGGCTGACAAGCCTGTTCCTTACAAACTACATCCGAGAGGCATTCAGATGGTAGCACGTATCCTCCCACCCAGTGGTCCCTCTCTCTAAACAGACTAAAAATTTTTTTAAACTGATTTTTAGAAAGAGAGGAAGGGAGAGGGAGAAAGAGAGAGAGAAACGTCCATGTAAGAGCGATACATGGATCGGCTGCCTCCTGCACACCCCCCACCAGGGATCAAGCCTGCAACCCAGGCAAGTGCCCTGATAGGGAATTGAACCCGGGACCTCTCAGTCCACAGGATGACGCTCAATCCACTGAGCCACACCGGCCGAGCAGGGCACCCCACTTTTAAGCAGGGCAGCCATGATCTGCACTTGAACAACAGTTCACATGTACCAGGGCACTGTGAGAGTCACTTGGTATGTACGTTATCTCATGTTTAATCATGGCAACCTTGTCATGGCTATTACCCTCTCTTCTCACAAGAGAAAGTGAGGCTCAGAGAGGTAAGTGCTCCCCTCAGGGTCGCCCCCAGTGTGGGCAGGGCTGGAATTTAATCCCAGGAGGCCTGATTCTGAGGCCTGCTCTCTTGTCATCGGTCACTTCCTTGGGCTCACTTATGAGGATGAGGGAAGACACTTTCACTTGAAGGCCACAGGTGAGCCTGAGGAGAATGTAATCCTTCTGCGACAAACATGACCTCGCAAACTGCCCAGGCCTGCTCTGGAGATCAGGCCCAGGGCCAGGCGGCCCTCCCACACCCTGCTGTGCCCAGCTCACTGCTCTGTCCAGCAGTTCTGGTCGGCACCTCACCTGCTCCCCATCCTGCCCAGGGAGAAGGCAACAGGCTCCCACTTGGGAATCAAGGTGGGGTGGTAATTGTTCCCTCAAGCCCAGGGCTCAGGAGACAGAGAAGTTACCAGGAAAGGAAGGACGCCAGGAGCACAAGAAAAAGTGAGTCACCACAGGCCGGCTACAGACATTCCCTCACACCGAGAGGCCGAGAGGCCGAGGAAGTGTGCTGGGAGGGAGGACCCTGATAAGCTAAGAACAGGGGAGCGGCCGGCAGTCTGAATCATGCGGAGCTCCTAACCTCCTGGCTGTCCCTAACCTCCTGGCTCCACAGTAAACAACAGCTGGCTGGGGAGGAGGGAGGCAAGGAGGAGAGCCCGTGTGCTTCTGAGCTGTGGGCTGATGCAGCAGGACTGACTCCTCTAGAGGAGCTTCTGAGGGAAGACTAAGTCCCAGCCCATCTCCCCTGACTGCCTCACTTTTCTTCTCTGTAATTTAGAAAAAACAGCAGAGTCTTTGAGGCTCAGCTGTAACAAAGCCAGGAGGAAAATCTAAGACAGGGGTGGGGAGGGAAGAGGTTTCAGGTTCGGGTGCTGAATTTTCTTCAGGTTTGGATGAGAGATGCACAGAGACATCTCAAGCCCTCTCTGACCTTGAGATCATTAACATCACAGAAGGGAAAATCACAATATAAAGGAGGAAATGGAGACGCAAAGAGGTACAGTGGCCAGATATAGTTCCGGACACAGGTTTAGTATAAGTATGTCCCATGCACATTTGGAAAACACTTATACTAGAAGAAAACCCCCAGAAAACTATTCACTGTTGATCTGAAATTCAGATTTAACTGGGTGTCCTACAATTTTATTTGCTGGATCTGGCAACCCTACTTCAAGGTCAGGGAGTCACAGCTTGGCCGACTCCAACTCTCCCACTCCCTAGGCTGAGCTCCCTCCCCATGCAGGGCCATTAAAGGCCACAGAGAAAACAAACAAATAAATCCCACACCTGCCCTTCTGAAGCTGCCTCTGTGTATGAAGCAGAAATCCCCCCCCCCCACTCAACCACACTGGCACAATGACGGAACAAGGGGACAAAACTGGGGTGCATGGTGCGCTAGCACCTTCCTGGGCTAGACTCCACTCCAGAGCAGCTTTTGTTGCTCTGAAGACAGAAGAAAGTTTTTTGCCAGGGCAAAAACCCCAGACAACAAACAAAAATAAAACCTCAGCAGATCCTTTAAGCCATCATCAAGAGCACTGAAGAATGGGAATCTGACAACACCCACCTGAGAATTCTCCCTGGAGGCTATGAAAAGTGAGCTGTGCTTATCCTGTGGGCATTTCCGGAAGCTCATGACTAAGATAGGTCCTTGGGTGTAATGATATGAAAGCAGACACTTCCGAGTCTGCCCTCCGTGCAGCTAAGGACAAGTCCATCCCCGCCCCTCCCCCTCCCCCCGCCCCTCACCCCTCCGCCCCTTCCCCCTCCCCCCGCCCCTCACCAGTGTAACCGCAGTGCGTGGAGGAAGGCTGAGAGGCCCTCCATGATCAGGAGGATGGCCACGGTCAGGGTGGCAAAGGCAGCGAAGATGAAGAACAGCGCCAGACTTCCTGCCAAGCTCTTCACGCTCAGGCCGATGTGGATCACCATGGTCCAAAGCACCTCAGACAGCTCTGGGGACCAGGGAGAGACACGACACCTGGTTCACTTTGGTGAGAAGCACTGCGGGCCTTGCATTTTGCTCTGCCACCCCTCACCTGGAGTGTCCCTTGCCTTCTGGCATCCCACGACCTTAGCGGGACCACTCTGCGTCGCTAACCTGGCAAAAGCACTGATTCGCCCATCTGGACATCATTCTCTGAATGTATGAGTCTGAATAATCCCGGGACATTTATGTAATTCCCACTCTCTTTAAGCCCCCACCTGAGAGAGTGCCCAGAGAGGGGGAAAGCCATAGTTCCATCGGAGAGAAATACACTCACGTGCATGGGCGAGGCTGAGGGCCCAGAGCCGCAGGTAGGAGGCGGTGTTGGAAATGCAGCCCAGGCAGTACTCGATGGTGTGGATGGCCTGGTGGACCATGGTGTCTCCAAAGTCAAACTGCGGTGGGAGGAAACCAGAGAGAAGAGTTAAGGCTGGGAGGGGAGTGTGGAAGTCTGGGCTGTGGCCACATGGCACTTTGGGCTCCATGGGCTAGGAGCGCCCGGTGTTGAACTCCAGTGGTGGTTTCGGCTATGCCATCCCCAGAAATACTGCCTGGCTTAGTCCCCAACTGAGACACCCAATTCCCCTCAAAACACTTCATTTTAATGAACTACATCTTTGTGAGAGTCTTCTCAACACTTTTGTTTTCTCTCCCTGCGAGGCTGTGAGCTGAAGTGGAGTGTATGTGAGGTTGGGAGCGCTCGGAGGAAATGGCTGTCTGGACCTGCTCCAGCTGACTCCCACCTGCTGGTGGGGTCCCCAGCTGGGAAGCGCCCGCTGTGAATAAGCCAGGAGGGGAGGAAGGGCCCCCACTCCCCAAGGCAGGCCCTAGACCTCTACAGTTACCAGTTTACCGTCACTTAATTAGTTTAACAAACTGTTGTGAGCAGATAACCAACCTCCTTTTGTGTGTGTGTGTGTGTGTGTGTGTGTGTGTGTGTGTGTGTGTGTGTGTGTGTCTTCTGAAAAGATGGCACTGGAAAACTTCGGTGAAAGTTTTACCAATTCCTACTTGGACAGTTGATTAAGACCGGACAGAATTATCTATTGGTTTTTATTTCTGTTTTCCTCACACTCCCTTTTTCCCAGTTTTCCTTTCAACATCAAAAACTATTTCCCGAATGAACGGGCAGGGCTGGAACAAGCGTTTAGGAGTCTGCATTAAGAGCTGTTCCAAGCACAGCTGGGGAGGAATACAGATGCTCTAGAAGCACCAGGTGCATTTCATGGCCTCTCACTCTCCCAGGTGGAGAAACCAACAGCTGCTATAGAACAGGAGGTCGGTCCATTCCGGGGTCCCTCCCCACAGCCCAGACCAGAACCCCAGGAGCAGAGCGCAGATGCCCAATGGGCCTCCCCATCCTGCCCCGCCCTTGGGTCAGAGTCTATTTTTCAGTAGTTTCTTTCAAGACTCATGTGACTCTACACCCAAAGTGGACCAGAATTGCCTTGGGAAATCACACAAGGCAGGAGGGAAGGGGCTGGGCTGGTCAAGAGCTGGCAGCCTTGCCTCCTGGTGTGGCCAGTGGGGAGAGGGACCAGCTCCAAGGCACTGGCTTTGAGCAGCTGCCCATTCCCTCACCTCTGACCATCTACCCGGGGTGGGGAACCATTTTTCTGCCAAGGGCCACTTGGACATTCATAACATCACTCACGGGCCATATAAAATTATCAACTTATAAATCAGCCTGCTCTAGTTGGTCAGGCTGATTTGGTGAAGTGTGCAATGCTAGCTGGTATTGTCTTGGGCCTTACATGGCCCGTGGGCTGGACGTTCTCCACCCGACACCCAGACACCTCAGGGCTTTTCTTCTGAACAGGTTTGTTAAGCCACCTGGATACCCTGAAAACTAGGGTAGTCCTAGTTACCTCAACCCCAACAATGCTGTGAAGGGTTCTGTCCCACCACTGCTGGCTGTCGCCCCAAAGCCCGTGCTCAGAGGAAGGAGAGGTCCCTGGCTTCAAGGAGTGCGGTCTTGACTCCCAAGAGCTCCACAAAAGCAGTGACTGCTGGGCTCCCTTCGAACTGGCCACTTTCAGCATTTTTATCCCACCTCGTTTCTCCCATTAAAAACAAGCAAAGAGCCCTGGCTGGTTGCTCAGTGGTTAGAGCATCGGCCCGTGGAGTTGCAGGTTTGATTCTGGTCAAGGGCACGTACCTCAGCTGTGGTTCGTCCCTAGCCCTGGCTGGGGTCGTGCGGGAGGCAACCAATCAATGTGTCTCTCTCACGTTGACGTTTCTGTTTCTCTCTCTCTCTCTCTCTCTCTCTCTCTCTCTCTCTCCCCCTCCCTCCCTCCCTCCCTTCCTCCCTCCCTTCCTCCCACTCTATTTGAAGATAAAGAGACAATAAATGTCCTTGGGTGAGGATTGGAAAACAAAAAATAAGAATGGAAGGATGGAGGAAGCTTCCCTTCCAGGCATACCCTAACTTTCTCCTGTCCTTCACTCCCAACTCCCTGCTTTGTAACCTTGGGCATTTTCTATGTAATGGGGTAGGATAACGGGGTGAGCATTAAGGAAGTCTGTCCCTCAGATCCCGTGAGTCAGCCATGGCTGACACGTTGCTGCGGACTCCCAGGGTCTCCGTTCTCCACCGCCTCCCTCACGGCCCGTCCACTCCTCACTTGCTCCACAGACAGGCCCTTCTTGGCCGGCTCACCCCTACCTCCCAGGTATGAGGCCTGACATTCTGTGTCCTGACTGAGCCTCTGCAGTGTCTGCCACTGTCACCTTTTCTTCCTCCCTCTTGACACACTCACCTCCCCCAAGGTTTTCCTCCTACTTCTCTGGAGGTTCCTTCTGTCTCCATCTTGGTTCTCCCTTAAATGTGGGAGTTCCAGTCTCAGCCCTGACATCTTTCCTACAGCACTGCCACTCAGGGCTTCAAGGCCACCCCTAGGAGTGACTCCCAAAGGGCCACCTCACTCCCATGTTGCCTGATTCCAAGTAGCTGTGCTTCATCTCCCCCTGCCGCACACAGGCACTTCAACTCTGAGCCACCCAGACTACGCGATCAATTGCTGTCCTCTGACCCACCGAGAGGTACTTCTAGTCCACGTCTCAGGTCTAACGGTGTCACTTCTAGTCCTCCGGGAACCCAGCCTGGCAATCAGTCTTGACTGCCAATATTCGCTAAGGCACTGGGACCTGTAGGTCTTACATCTTTAGTCTCATATTGGTCCCTTCCTTTCCAACTCCTCCTGCAAATGCCTTGCTTCACTCCAGGCCTCCCAATTCTTTCCTCACTCATAGCAGGCTAGCTGGTCCCCATGCCTCAAGACTGTGCCGCCTCTCCACTCAATATGTCCTGTAACGTCCCCACAAGGGTATCTCAGTGATGCACCTTTGTTGTGTCACTTCCAGCGTCACCACCCTCTGACGGCTCCTTGTCCAAACAATCTACGGCTCATTTCTGCCAACTTCTAGTCTCACCTCTCCCAAGTCCCCCAACTCCTGATTCTGGTTTCAGCCAAGCTGAATACCTGCCTCTCCTCCAAGTGTGATGGGCCTGCAGGCTTGTGTCTTTACGATAACTATTCTCTGTACCGCAGGCCGATGCTCCAACCGCTGAGCCAAACCGGCCAGGGCACGATAACTATTCATAGATGACTCTGCATCCCCTTCTCCCTCCAGAGACTCCTGATTGACCAGACTAAGCTTGTCGATAATTTCCTTAGGGAACCCTTTCCTGGTCTTCTCTTCCCCACCCCCACTCAGTGTTTTTCAGGTGCCCTCTCTCTGTGTTCCCACAGCATCCTGGACACACTATGCTCAAAGCATCTGTCACTCAGACTATCTCCTCAATTTGTTTGGGAGTTCCTTGAAGGCAAGGACTGTGACTTTCTTCCTTCAGTTTCTGCAGTATTAAACAGAGAGCCTGACACGTGGAGGATGAATGGATGGATGGATGGGTTGGATGAGCGCACCTGGTGAGGTGACAAGTGGAGGGTGAATGGATAGATGGATGGGTTGGATGAGCGCACCTGGTGAGGTGACAAGTGGAGGGTGAATGGATAGATGGATGGGTTGGATGAGCGCACCTGGTGAGGTGACACAGTAGGGAGAGGCACCACTGACCCTTGCTGAATGGTTACACCTTCAAAGATTTCCCAGTCAAATGACCTGGCCCTGTGGCAAACAGATTTTCACAGCCAAGCAAAATGAGGGAAGTTCTAGAAGAAGTAGGCTGGACTTTTTTCTTTTTCTTTTTTTTAAATCCTCACCCAAGGATATTTTTGCATTTATCTTCAGATAGATCGGGAGGAAGAGAGGGAGAGAGAAACATCGATGTGAGAGAGACATACAGTGGTTGCCACCCACACGACCCCAACTGGGGCTGGGGACAAACTGCAACCGAGGTATGTGCCCTTAGCGGGAACTTGAACTCGGGACTCTTCGGGTTCACGGGCCGACGCTCTAACCACTGAGAGCAAACTGGCCAGGGCATAGGCTGGAATTTTTTAAAAATCTGTTTTGTTTGAAATCTTTAGATAACTGTGGCAGTTACCCAAATTTGGCTGCAGAGAACTAGACTGTGTATGTGTCTGATAAAGTGTCATGACTACTTAGGAAGCTATGAGAAACTGAACCCCTGAGGGAGCTGGGGGCCAGACTAGGGCAGCTGAATTACAGTCCATCTTCTTTGGAAGTCCAACTCCTGAGACATGGCTATAAACAAGGCCTCTTCTGACAATGACCATGGCATTTAGGTGCTCAATCAGTAAGACATTTAGAAAGAGCAGTATTGTTGGAGGCGATGCTACTGGGAGCAGGCTGGGCTCCTCATTAACAGGGGACTTGCTCCCACCGCCCTTCCAGGCAGCTCAGCCAGAGGCTGTGTGCAGGTAAGCGGTCCAGAGGAACACAGAAGCTCCTGGGTCCCAGCCAGGAGCCTCTCCAGCCTTCAGGAAGACTGAGCACTGTTTTTACATAAAACAGCAAAGATTTTCCCGTTGCCATCCCAGTGCCCCCTTACAGAAACCAGGAGAGCAGGAGAGGGAAGGTTCACGGGTCTAAGTATTTCGGAGAGAAGCTGTGGGGGAAGATGCAAACAGTGCAGCACGGCCTTTACAAACCCCACTCCCACACTCGTGTGTTGCTAAATGACTTCTTGCTGAGCTAGAAGGCCTATCCCAGATGTGGCTTGCACACTTTGCCAACTGTCTTTCTGTTCCTTGTTATTTTTCTGTGTGTGGCTAATATAATATGAACTCCTTTCACGTGGATGGGTTGTCTTTTTCTGGGATACTTCTACATCTAAGAGGCAAAGCCTCCTTTTGAAAGCTGTCTCCCTCCTACCTGGGTCACACAGAGATAGAGCTGACCCCAAGGCGAGGGTCCAGCAATTCTCACTTCAAGCATCATCAAGCTGATGAGGGCAGCAGGAAGAGGCTGGCTGCATCTTAGACAGGGAGGAAGGGGGAGCTTTACTCATAAGCACTCAGAGGATCAGGGAGGAAACAGCTACTCCCAGTGGCATAGCGGCCACACATAACATCACAGGACAGCAGGCAGAAGCCAGTGGGATTTAACCCCAAGGGGAATCACTTCAAGAATGCCAATGCAGACATTACTTGTAGCTCCTTACAAAGCCATTGTCAGAGGTATTAGATCAGCGAAGTCAATGAAACAAAGACAGAGGTGACTGACATGAGATGCAATTAATGGAGATGAGCTTTTTCAGAACATGGATTCACGAACTGGTTAGAAACGGCCAGTGAGATGCAGGACACGCGGGTATCATGTGTGGCCCCGGGATGCAGCAGGGTCAGCAAAGTGATCATAAGGACGGGAAGACAAGCCCCAGATAAACATGAAGGCAAAGCAGCTTGTTTCTTACCGCTTCATCCTCGGTAGGCTTGAAAACACAAAGTTACACTTAGTGGGAAGCCACGGCACACACAAGGTCACAAGTCATGAACACAAGACTACTGACTGCTTCTTGGGGAGGACGGTTAATGTTAAACAGGGCTAACAAGTTGGAGGCAGGCCTCCTCAGCATACAGGAAAGCAAAATCAGCAGGATTTAGAGCATTAAGATATATTTTTAAAAGGCACCCCAACCCTCAGAATTTCGTTTTTAAAATGTCAAACACATAGTGAAAGTGGTCAGTCAGACTGAAAAATCAGTCACCTGGGTCCTCAACTCTTATTCTATTTGTTGTAAAAAGAATATAATGAATAGATGAGATAAAAAAGTTCAGAGGCTTCATGGTATGAGTAGTCAGGCAAGGAGAGTGGGTTTTAAAAACCTGAGCTTGGAGGTGGTGGTGTAGGAAAAGTCTAGCTTAGCCTTACTATTTTTCACTGTCTCTAAAAGAAGTATGCAAATGACATTTTAAAAGGCTCAAATAAAATATCTGCAATGAGAGCACATTGGGACAGGACTTCAAAAGTGTCAGTGGTTACAGTTCCAACTGGAACCATCCTTGGAAGGAGCAAGGGATGAGGATGCTGTCTTAGTGGGCTGTGCTTCTGGTAATAAGAGCTGGGAAGCTGGGGCCTATTCTACCTCGGTGCCCAGGAGAGCAGTTAGTAATTGAGATCTGTGTGCAACTCAGAATTTAAGAAGTCGAACAGAACAAAACTGCTGCAGGCTCTGCCAGCAATACCTGGAATTTATGGCGCCCACTGGAAAAAGCTGTGGTGCCCTAAGAGGTCCAGAAGGCAGGCTGATCATTGGTCTCAGTATTTTCATTTTTCAAGGAAGCCTGGAGTGAGTCTGCTTAGGTACCCAAGACCAGGGCTGACCCAAGGTAGGAGAGGAAGCCCACACCACTGGATCTTACCTCTTCTGCATCTTCTGAATGGGTGGAGAGCTGGTCATGCTGAATAATCTCAGCATCCTCCTCTGTCGGTCCGTTGCCCACCCTGATCCCACCAAAGTTGAGAGTTCCCTACACACATGAACAGAAAGAGTAGAATTTGCCTGGGCTTTAATATGACATTCTGTGAGGTGGGGAAGGGCGATGGTTAGTACATACAAACCTCAGAAAACGATATGTTCTAACAACAAAAACAAAACCTGCTGATCAAATAGCTAAGTAAAAACAAACCACTGTTCCCCACCCAAACCACCACCACCCCAGCCCCAGCCCCAACTACATTTACCATCCCGTCCTGATGGGAAGAAATACGCAATTCTGCCTGCTGCACCAAGAGACAACACCCTTGCCCTGGTCAATGCTAACTGAGAATCTTGCTTGAATGGAAAAGCGTAATACAAACAGACTCTCATAACAAGTACAGCTCTCCATAAAGACATCAAGGGCCTAAGTTTTTCTGGAACTGAACTAAAGAGTAGACTTTTTAAAAGGAAGGGCACCAAATGATATGGTGATTATAACCTGGTCTGATAAGCTTTCAGTGGGAACCCCAAGAGTTCCAGCAACCTCTCCCAGAAACATGCTGGGTTTCTACTCAGAGAAAAAAGGACTTCCTAGGTGATGGAAGGGAAAAAGCTTAATCTTCATTAGTTTGTGGCTAGAGAATATTAAGTTTAAAAAAAAGAAAAAGGGCTCCTTTCCTTCAACGGAGGATTCTGGAGTGTGAGAACAACTTTTTCACAGGCATGTGGGCAGATGCTTAGGGGGTGTTTGCTTCGCCTCACTTCTCAGGCATCGTTTTCAGCAGGGTCTCCAGAACCAGAATTTCTATGTCAACCTGATTTGGAAAAGCTTAGGTTTATTGAGGCAAAAATATTCTGTGGGTACAAAAACTAGGCAGAACTGGGATTAAGTCTGACGGATACCAATTAGTGCTAACCTGCCACAGAGCGAAAGGAGCTGAAAACACAGCCCCTAGTCCTGGCCAGTGTGGCTCAGTTGGTTGAGCACTGTGCCAGGTACCAAAAGGTGGCTGCTTTGATTTCCAGTCAGGGCACATGCCTGGGCTGCAGGCTTGATCCCCAGTAGGGGGCGTGCAGGAGGCAGCTGACATGCAGCTGATGGATGTTTCTCATGTCCATATTTCTCTCTCCCTCTCCCTTCCTCTCTCTCTAAAATCAACAAAAACCTATTTAAAATAAATACATAAACAGCCCCTCGACCCACTTCATATAGTTTCTGTCTGAGGAATCAAACAAGGCAAGAGTTGGAAGACTGCTCTCCTGCAAAATGGCCTTCTGGGCAAGCAGCACAAACAATATGTGAGCAGGTTTGGTCAACTGCTCCGAGGTTCCCACTCGCACCTTCACCTTTTACCAGTTACTGACCACCAGACCCCACTGTTTGGGTAAACTCTCTCTCTTCTAGTAGTGGTTCTCATGTGCTGGGTAGAGAACCAGTTGCATCAGAATCACCTTGAAAGCTGCATTTCAGTAAACAGAGATTCTCAAATGCTACTCCCAGAAAGTGTAAATTTAGTAGGTCTGGGGTGGAGCTTAGGAAATCTGTATTTAAAAATATATACCCCAAGTACACAGTGGATGGTCATTTTGATTGTCTACCAAAATTGAAAATGCATGCACACACAAAAAAATGCACACACCCTCTGAGACTCTGCAATCCAATTGCACCCACTGCTGGAAACTTGCTTGTAAAGTTTTATTTAGGACAGGGATGTTCCCTACATTGTTATTTGTAATAGCAAAGGACTGGGAACAACAAACACATCCATCGGTAAGAAAGTGATTACATAATTTTAGCATATCCAATAGAATGGTCTATGTGGGCTGCTAGGCAACTATAAAAAAAGAGTATCACTATAAAACTATCTCCAAGATACACTAAATGTTTAATAACTTAATAAATCAAAGGGCAGAATAGTGCTACAGTTTAAACACAATTCCTGATGTGTTTTTTAAAATACACACACACACCACACACACACATCTACAAATACAATTGTATCAAAAGATAACAGATATATGCTGACATAGGCAAAAAAAATTGGAGGCAAAATGCTGTTAATAATACCCTTGAGGAGGAGAAGGTGCTAGGGAAAGAGAAGCTTTCGCTTTCAGTATTATTTGCATTTTCTTTTTTCCCGAATTTTTATAAGAGTTTATTTGAGCCAAACAGACAACATATGCTGGGGAATAAAATCTCAAATGCTCCCTTATTTTCATTTTCTAACCAAGGGCATCTATTGCTTTAATTTTATTTTTAATGTCAGTAGGGGATTGTCTGGGTCCTAGAATTATAGCCCAATTTTATTTCTTGTTCTATTTATCGGTTTTAATGCCCTAAGAAACAAGTGTTAAAGTTCACCAAGTGATTCTGATATGTAGTCAGATTCAGGAACCACTGAAGCCCTGGGCACCTCCAGGTCTTGCAAATATTACACCTGACAACCCTCAAAAGTTGGACCGAAAGGGCAACCAAGGGCGTGAGTGACAGGAGGGGACTCCTGGGATGGGTGCGAGGGTACAGGAGGCAGGCTTCAAGGTTCCTAAAGCAGAAGGCCAATTCTGAAGCTTTCCCCAACTAGAGGATAAAGTGAGGGGCAGACAGGTTAAACCTCCCAGCTAGACACTAACAACTGTCCTTTCATTACATAGGGAGTGAGAGTTATAGGAAGGGGGATGAGACACACACACACGCCAGAAGAAAAAAAGAAAAGAAAAAACTAAACTATGATAAATGGCTTACAGACAACCAAGAGGACAGAGAACAGAACAAAAACAGATCAGTGTTCATATCCTCAGCCCTTGGGGTCAAGAATCCAGGGTTCTTGTTGTAGAATTATCATCCTGATGCCTTCAGGCTGTTCTCCAGATGTTTGGCTAAAAAACCCAGTGGGCTAAGAAGAACCTGTGAATGTACAGGTTTCTAAACTGGGGACTTTAAAATTGGACAGTTGGAAAGAAAAGGATGCCAAATTTAAAAACATCAAGGTTGATGCACCAGAAGCACACCTTAAAAACATTAAGACCAGCAGAAAGAAGAGCACATGGAAAGAATGTCAATAAATGGATAGTAGCGCTTTAAGGGCTTAACATTTTTTTCTTCTGGGAAAAGAGAAAACCCCTACTTGAAAATAGTTTTAAGCAGTAATATTAAAATATCTTCTGATCCAAAATATCAGTCCTCTTAGAATAGTTCTAGAAGGATGATCACAGAAATTTTCTAAGTTTAAAATGATCAGAAACACCTAATGAAGGAAATGGTTATCCATCTAAACATTTCATTTTCTTTTAAAGGAGCATGATGCTACTAGAATACAACACTACACGGGTAACCACTACTGGTGAGACTTAAAAATCTTATAGATTCATTACCTAGAATAGATTGGACTAGTTTGATATTAGGGCATTGTAAGATTTTGATTAAGAGATGTTTTTAAGGACACATATTGAAATGCTTAACTTTTAAAGTGCAATTAGAAGAAGGAAAGATCAAGACAGAGGTGGGTCTGATTATTCCACCAGATGTCAGTACACACAAGACACCTGGCAGAGTAGAGTTCTCAGTGGAACAGCTGAGGACATGAAGTCTTCTGAGTCTCTCACAAAAAAGTAGACATGTGTAAACTTCCACTGGAAGGAGAGTGAGTCACAGCTAAAATGGACCAAATGCCCAAGCATCACTCTAAAGCAGAACTTTAAGTGTCGAGAACTCAATTCAAGAATCACAGAGATGTTCTTGCTCCATGCTGAAAAATCATCCAATACATGGTCACAAAATACAGACATGAAAGCGGATGAGTCCAAGAGCTGCCATCTTGGATTAAGATGATGGGACCCAGAGAGGGTACAACAGCCACTTTGCTTCCATAAACATGACTGTACTTACATATTTTAATAGAAACTTAGTAGATCAATGATAAAGATGATATCAGAATCTACTCGTAAGAGGTGGAAATCTTTTCTGTTGTCTCAATGAGTAACAAGGACATACTTCCCAAGAGCACATGTGTCCCATGCTCTCAATATAGTTAAAAAGAATTCTGCTGCACTGTTTGCCACCTCTAAACAAAATGTGATCGTTTAAACAGTGGTTTAAATTCACTCACTGTTGCAGCCGCTGCTGCCTCTAGTCCCTGTTGGCTCGGGGTTGGGCTGACTGGGGCCTCCACAGGTTGCCCTTCCTGATAGTGAATGGAAGAAAAGAGGAAGGGAGAAGGAAACAAAAGAGGGAGGGAGTGAAGGGGGAGACGAATGCAGGGTATATGGAAGGATGAAGATGGTCAGAAAAGGGAGAAGGAGGATCTTGTAACTCAGCTGCTCTCCAACACGAATAATAATCTAATAGCCATATGAGAGTCATGCAAAAAGATCTTCTGGATTTTACCACAGTATAATAAGTAACATTACTGCATAGCCACAAATGAATGTTTGTGTGTGTGTGTGTGTGTAGAATTCATATGCACACATCCATTAAGTAAACACATGTATGCTGCTTTTTAAAAAGAAAAAAACAACATGCTTCAAACCAAATCTTTTCCCCAGATGTTTTGGTTGGTGAAAGTGTCACGGTCTTATTTCCAAAGACAGTGTCTCAGTGTCAGCCCTGTGGTTGGCCAGGCAAACCACATGAGTGGGTTCACCGGCTACAGCTCTTGCAGCCTTGCCGTGTCTGACCTAGACAGGCCCAGACCTGGATTTTGCTGATCACAGCACGAGTAAAACATGACCAGGAAAGGTAAACACTGATGACTTATTCTCTGTACTCAAAGCTGAATCCAGATGTCCAGGCAGCAAAAACATGATTTTTTAATTTCAGCAGTCCAGTGCTCATGACACAACTGCATTGTAAGAGTATATAGACTTATGCACAATTCATTAGATCCAATGAGGAATTGCCTTGATCTTTAAAAAAAAAAAAAATCTAGTGACTTTCAGCAACAGAAATACACCCACCAAATGCTTTCTCCTCAAATACTGATGGCGAAGGACCAGTGGTTTAAACAGTAGCATCCACGGTACGCAGAGCAATGCAACCACAACCAGGAAACACTGAATTCCTTTCTGCAGAGAAGGACAGGGCACATCACATTATCAAACATGCAGTTTCCAATGCCAGCACAAATCACCCCCAAAATAGTACTTTCTTACTGATCTGTGAATAACGCTATCAGATTTTCAAAATAATTAGCAGATGTTGTGGCGAAGCCCAGGAATTGTCCCATAGGATGAGAGTTACTATTCAACCCTTTGTGGATATAGAAATTACAGTAGACTCCCCCTTACCCCTAAGTAAGAAGGATAGGCTGAATTTAGATCTGGATGTATAAATTGAAAACCAAATTCTACAGAAAGGGATTTTTAAAGTTTTTTTTAGAGTAACAAAAACATCTAACTTCCTGATCTAGGATAACCACCTAAGATAGTCTACTTCTGGGTTGACCCACCTGTCCAGAATATAGCATTGAATTACTAATGTCCTCATAGGAAAAGAGAAACATGCTTATGAAATGGATCAGAAGGCTTGGTGCTTTCTCAGATGTATGAGCATCATAGGCCGTCCACTTGTAAAAAATGAGGATAACCAAGTAGCCAAACAAAGAGGTCATGAAGATTATTTCAGGAATAAATCCAAAGTAGATATTCAGGGGCTTTTTGAAATAGCTAAAAAGGAAGAGAGAAAAAAAAATGTGAAAAGTGAACAGACCCAGGATCACCCCTACACCAAGTAGAGTCCTCACGAGATTTTTTCCTAACACTCCCTCAGGTCTGTCTGTATTACTTCAAGAAGCAACAGCCAGAAGTACTGGAGGCAACAGAGACAAGCAGGATTAACTATGACTTCCAAACTTCTGGACCTTGAACAGCTCCAGTACCATCCCCACCATTCTCCCATGAGAGAGCGATTGGAAAATCTAGTACATTCTGAGACACAGTTCATAATTTTATGTGAGTTACATATCAAGGAACAAAAATAATGCCCTCATTTTGATGAAAATTACACAAGGTTCTCTCAAAGGTCTTTACTGAAATTGTAAATTGTTAAGCAAGCCCCATTTAAGAACATGCCATTTCTTAAAAGCACTTTTTTTTTTTTAACACAGAACAGGGTTCTGAGTTACTAATCCCTCCCCACAAATATCATGAATTCCTTAGGCAAAAACATTATCTAAACTATGCACATTCTTATGATGGAAACAGAGTGACTCACGTATGGTTGAAAAGGCTCAGGCTGACTCCAAACATCATGTGGATGATACCAAGGATAACGGACATCTTCATCTTAAATGAGTTGAGGAAGGTCAGTTTATTGGTAGCAATGTTCCAAATCTGTCACAGTCCAAGGAAACAAAGGGTATTACAAAGAGTGCTCAAATGTAAAAATAGTCACCCATTTAATTTTTTTTAAATTTGTTAATCCTGCCCTGGCCAGTTTGGCTCAGCGGTTAGAGCATCGGCCTGTGATCCAGAGAGACCCGGGTTCGGTTCCCACTAAGGGCACGTACCTTGGTTGCAGTTTGTCCCCGGCCCTGGTTGGGTCATGCGGGTGGCAGCCACTCGATGTGTCCCTTTCACATTGATGTTTCTCTTGTTCTCTCTCTTCCTCTCTCTCCCTCCCACTCTATCTGAACAAAAAATAGAAAAAATGTCCTCGGGTGAGGATAAACAAAAAAAATTTGTTAATCCTCATTCAAGGATATTTTTCCATTGATTTTTAGATAGAATGAAAGAGAAGGAGGGAGAAAGAGAGAGAAAAATCAGTGTGAAAGAGACACGTCAATTGGTTGCCTCCTGCCCAACTTGCAACCCAGTTATGTGCCCTTGACCGGAAATTGAACCCAAGACTCTGGTTTGTGGGCCGATGCTCTAATTGCTGAGCCAAACCAGCCAAGGTAAGTCACCCATTTTAAAAAATGTTGTTTTTTTTTAATTATGGAAAATTCTAAACATATACTTAAGTCGAGAGAACAGTATAACAAACAACTCCCATGTACCTGTCACCTGGCTTCTACAATGACTATCCGCTTACTGACTCTCAGTCAATCTTCTTTCATCATAACCCCAACCACTCCCCACCTTCAGATTATTTTGAAGCAAAATCCAGATATCATATTATTTTACCTGTAAATATTTCAGTGCAGATCTCTAAAAGGTAAGAACTTATTTTAAAAACATGACCATAATACTGTTATCACACCCCAAAGCATTAACAATGATTCTTTAATATCATGAACTATATAGTCAATATTCAAATTTCCCTAATTGTGTCCAAATATTTTTTAATAACTCATTTATTCAAAGTAGGGTCCAGATAAGGGCTATACACCATGATTGTTGATGTAGCTCTTAAGTCTCTACTGTATAGGTTCTCCCTCCAGCTCTCCTTTTGTATTCCTTCCAAAATATTTGTTGAAGAAATTGGGTCAGTTACCCAGTTATCTGTAGATGTTCCCACAATCTGTGTTTTGCTGATCATGTCCCTGTGGTATTGTCAGTCCATTTACTTTTAAATATTAATTGCCTTAAGCTTTGTCCCCAAAGGCCTGGATGCCTGTAATATTTTCCTGACAGTTCTTCTGCCACTACTTGGCCATCAGATGACATTTCCTAAATCATGACTCTGACACAGTCACTTCTCTGAGCCAGAACCTCCTCCTGAACCCCTACCATCATCTCTCGGCTAAAGTGCAAAATCTGTAGCCCAATAAGCCAGATCTAGCATCTAGCCTGGCATCTTTTTTTTTTCCCGAACTGGCCTCTCCATGAAGAGCTTATCCTCAGTGACCTCTAACCTGAAAACCTGTGACTGGTTCTTTCTCTAGCCCCAACCTCACCTGAAATCCAGCTCTACAATCCAACTGCCTGATGGACATTTTCACCTGGCACTTCAAAGTCAACATCTACCCACCCTGCAAGCATCAAATGAAATGTCTGCAAAAAAATTTTGTAACTACAGAATACTATATAAATGTGAGGTAATATTATTATTATTGGACTCCAAACTATTTGAGGGCAGGAATTCGTCTCAGAGTTCTGTTTCGCCCAGCAGGCACAATGCCTTGCAGACAAAGAGAGTCAATACACATTTGTTAAATGCATGTGTAAAATGCTATCAAACCTCTCCAAACCTCAGTTTCCTTGTTTGTATAATAGGGATAGCATTATCTACGTGATAGATTGAGGATAAATCAGATATGCTGAGAGCTCAGTACAGTGCCTGGCACATAGTAAGTGTTTCAGTAACATTAACTTCTCTAATAATTAAAATAAGAAACTCTGTATCTCCCCATCTCTATGTTTTTGCAAACACTTCTCCTCACCTGTAACAATCTGAAATATTTTTAAAGGTCATATTATTTCCATTTTAATAAGAAACCTTAATCTTTCTTGGCCATAGTAATGTTTTTCCCCTGAAATTTTATAATCCTTACTGTCTAACACTTATTCTTCAGTTCCTCCTACCCCCTTTCTTAAGCACACAATACAAAAGATTTAATCACACTTTATTTGCCTACGTATTTGAAAAAGTAATTAAATTCTGGGATAAGTTCTTATAAATATATAAAGATAAAAATGGAAATTAAAACCCACAGGGAAGAGCTATTTCTGCTTTGTTAAAACATCTGTGAACAATAAAAACCAAACTTAAGTTAAATAAATTAAACTGGGAAGGAGTCTTGAAAACCAGTTTTCCCAGAGTCAGTATTATTAGCTACCTCTGAAATAGGCAGTGCAGGAAAATGATGTTGACTCCCCAAGGCACTTGGGTCTTTTATGGCTTTTGGGTCTTTTTACTGGACAGATAAACCAAGGCTTTCCAAAAATATGTCAACTATATAACTATTTATCTTCACTTTCATTCTCTCGCTTTAGGGTCACAATTGAACGTTTTAGTGTTAGACATATAGGAAAGAAGTGCTCTTACTGGATCGATGCCAAAAGGGTATGGTCCACCAAAAACTCCAGGGATAGTTGGATTCAACTGGAGCACAGGATTCCCCCGAAGCGTCTCCTCCCTACCATGTTAGGAGAAAAGTTGCATTTATTTATAATCAACAGAGGGAAACTACTAGGGTCCAGAAACTGATCCCAAAAGAAACTACGACAGCTATCTCATCTCTTGAATAAAAGGAATAGGGACTAGCATCTGAGATGAGAAGGGATTAGAGATACCAACGGCAACAACAAAAATTAAACGGATATACACGACCAAGTAGGGAATTTGGGGAATTTGCTTTTAATTTCTAAAATGAACCAATGTGCCTAATTTAGTCTCAGTCCTTTGTGACTGCTGAACAAATCACAAAGTACTTCCCAGGCTGGAGGACAAATAAAAGGGGACACTGCATTCTTTTGAAACAGAGACAGCTCCTAAAGAAGTGTTAGTTTACCACTTGTCTGGAAAATTAGAGCTGAATATGAAAGGAATAAGCTTTGACTTTTAACTTCTTTTGTAACTCACGTCCAATTATATATGAACATCGGCCGTACGCTCCAGGATGATCCGAAGATATTAAGAGATTTGGAAAAGCAATCATTGTAGATGAGGCCAGTGTAGATGGAGAACACACCCATTAACAGAATAATGTACCGTCCGCTGAACACAGTGCTGAACATCTGGGAACCAGAAGAAAGAAGTCAATGAACTCTCTGTGGCTCATGTCATGACAATGTTGTTTTGAATACACTAGACCCTTCTCCTCCCACCACTTTACCCCATCCTGGGTTAGAGAGCTTGAAGTAAAGACTAAACTATAATGCGAACAGGAAATTCACTTTCACATCACATGGCCTCTTTAAATGTTAAAATGAACACAACTTCTCTATAAATTCTTGATAAAAGATTTCCAGATCATAATTTTCATAATGAATGCTTGAGAAATTATAACATTTCAGTCTATTGCAGATGCAACTTAAACATTACCTCATTTTCATTCTTCTGGGAGAGGATCCGGCTTTCCCTTAACACCATCCATACAGCAAAAAGGGTCATCAAAATGCCATGGCCAAAGTCTCCAAACATCACAGCAAATAGGAAGGGGAAAGTGATGATGGTATATGGAGCTGTAACGAAACCAAAGGATGTCAGATGGGTACCAGACTTATTGGGGTGATCACTCTGTAAAGGTGTATAAATGTCTAATCACTATGTTGTGTATCTGAAACTAATATATTGGTGTATGTAAACTGTCATTAAAAAATAAATGAATAAAAAAACTAAAGGAGGAAAAAGACAAAGCACAGAAAACCGTAACAACTCCCAACATATCACATCCTCTCCATACGCTAAGACCAATATCAGGTGACTGTGGACTCCCAGAGAAAATCTTCCCTGGCACTGTGCACCCTCACAAAGCAGCTCTGGTGGCATCTGAGCTACTGCTAGCATTTTAAACACAGAAGAACACAGGAAGTGAAAGTTTTGCCTCTGGCGTTGGCAACAGTGTGGTTTGTTCTTTAATTCCTTTTTTCTAAGCCCCGTGACACTGCTCCTGGAGCAGACCAGCTTTCCTCCCTTGTGTAGCAACCCTTTCCCAGCTGCATAAAGCTACCAGGTAAGTGGGAGAAAGCCCAGAACCTGGAGCAAAGCAGGTCCTGAAGAAGGCTCCAGCTGAAAATGAATTCTCGGACTTGATTTAATAATTAACTGTCCAAACAGAGAAATCTGCTTTGTGCCTAACATGGTCAATAATTGGTATATTTTCTCTAACTTGGAACAGGGAAGCCATTTTAAAATGTCAGATATTGCTTGGCTTGTGTGGCTCAGTGGATTGAGCGTTGTCTCATGGACTGAGAGGTTCCGGTTTGATTCCTAGTCAGGGCACGTGCCCAGGTTTTGGGCTCAGTCCCCAGTGGAAGGCAAGCAGGAGGCAGCCGATCGATGTTTCTATTTCTCTCTCCCTTCCTCTCTCTCTATAAATATATTTAAAAATAAATAAAATGTCAGATATCTTGGCAAAAACTTCTTGCTTAAAGCATTTCCTGCAAATGGTGTGCTGGAGAGCCTGGCTGGTGTGGCTCAGTGGCTGAGCACTGACCCATGCACCAAGAGGTCACCAGTTGATTCCAGGTCAGTGCACATGCCCAGGTTGTGGGCCCAATCCCCAATGGGGGTGTGCAGGAGATTGATGTTTCTTTCTCACATCAATGTTTCTCTCTCTCTCCCTCGAAAATCAATCATGAAAAAAAAAATTTAAAAAAGGTGTGCTAGAGCCCTGGCCGGTTTGGCTCAGGGGTTGGAGCGTCGGCCTGCGGTACAGAGAGACCCGGGTTCGGTTCCCGCTAAGGGCATGTACCTCGGTTGCAGTTTGTCCCCGGCCCTGGTTGGTCGTGCGGGTGGCAACCACTCGATGTGTCCCTTTCACATCGATGTTTCTCTCTCTCTCTCTCTCTTCCTCTCTCTCCCTCCCGCTCTGTCTGAACAAAAAATGCAAAAATGTCCTCGGGTGAGGATAAAAAAAAAAAAAAAAAGGTGTGCTAGAGAAAGCCAGGTGTTTTATAGCTGTGAAGGCACACAAGAAGAATCCACTAAGGTCATGCCTACAATATGCCTACAAATCATATATGTGTATATATATATATATATATATATATATATATATATATGATTTTCCTTCCTTTGATGGGAACCTGAATGAGACAATTTTTATAATTCTTTCAAAATTTAGTAATAAAATTATGAAAATTTTATACAAATTTTCATTGTATAATTGTTGCTTCATAATCAATAAAGTTCTCCAAATAACCTGTTCTATAAAAACCAGAGAACAGGGCCCTGGCCAGTTTGGCTCAGCGGTTAGAGCGTCGGCCTGCGGTCTGGAGAGACCCGGGTTCGGTTCCCGCTAAGGGCACGTACTTCGGTTGCAGTTTGTCCCCGGCCCTGGTTGGTCGTGCGGGTGGCAGCCACTCGATGTGTCCCTTTCACATCGATGTTTCTCTCTCTCTCTCTCTCTCTGTTCCTCTCTCCCTCCCACTCTATCTGTACAAAAAAAAAACAAAAAAAAAAAAACCAGAGAACAGGAGTGCCTCCTGGTGACACATGGGCACCTCCTTACAGGAATTACACTAGAGCTGAGGTCTTGACATCTTTAGTTTTAAGCCAGTTGTTCAGTAGCATTTAAAGTGAGGCATTAAAAGATATCACAAACAAAAAATAAAACCTCTAGAGGGAAATGATTCAAGCTGTTTTACCTGGATTTATCTCTCGGTAGGTTCCAATTCCGTAAGCATCTACTATGTTCTGAAAGCCGTATGTGAACTTGTTCGTTTTGTTATATGTTGGGGGAGTCTGGTTTGTCTGCATCCTGTTCAAAATAGAGGGGACGGTGGAACCACTGTGCTCCTGGGAAACATTAAGCACATATATCAAAATTAGATCATCCTTGCCCAGCTGGTGTGGCTCAGAGGTCTCTGGTTCAATTCCCAGTTAAGGCACATGTCCGGGGTTGTGGGCTTTATCCCCAGTGTGGGGCATGCAGGAGGCAGCTGATTGATGTTTCTCTCTCATTGGTGTTTCTGTCTCTCTTTCTCCTTCTCCCTTCCTCTCTCTAAAAAACAAAAAATCAATAAAAATCATTAAAAAAAAAAATAGGTCATCCTCCTAAATGTGGTGGTGGTTACACAGGTGTACATATTTATCAAAACCCATCAAACCATACACATAAAATGTGTGTATTTTACTTTATGTAAATTATATCTCAATCTTTCCCAGTCCTTGGGGAAACTGAAACTAGGTATAAAATTTCCAATGAAAGATTTAAATTAAATCTTGGGAAGAAAATCCTTACTGTGAAAAAAACATTTAATTCTAAATTGTACAACCAAAGAAAACATGGAAGCTCTTTCTCTGGAGACATCCTCACCTGCCTTTCTAGGAATATCATTGTTCTCTCCTCTGTTTATGGAGAAAGCAAAGTACATTCTCTGACTCTCCTCCTTCACCACCTGCTCTAAACTCTCTAATCCCTTGCAGTGAGCTGAGCACGCTTATTCAAAGTGGCTGCTGGTTACCAGGTCCAAAGGTCTTTTCTTCTACATGCAAGACCCTGACCCTGGAGATCTTTCTCTTATTGGGTGAAAACTGATTTCTTAGTAGTCCCTTCCTGCTCATGCTTTTTATGTCTTTGCTGGCTTTTCCTCCTCTGCCTATCCCAAACAAATGCACGACCCCCAAGGTCCTATCTTTAACTTCCTTATATTCTCTTTGAGGTCTCATTCCCTTCCACTCTCATGACTCCCAAGTCTTTCATTTTGCCTTTTCTATTGAGAACCTGTCCTGTTATCTGTTTGACATTTCCATGTGGATTTCCGTCCAGTCCCTCAATGTTACTGAAACTGAACTTACATTTTCCCCCTAAATTTCTTTTGCTGAACTGTTACTTCCATTAATGGAACCATTATTCTACCAGCTACCCAGCTTTGATGCCTCAGAAACAGTTACATTTTTTTCTCCTTGTATTTCTCTCACATTGCTAGAAACCAAGCATACCTAACTGGTTCTTCCTTCAGAATGTCTCACAAATTCATCATTTTCTTTTCTTTCTTTCTTTCTTTGTTAATCTTCATCTGAGGATAGTTTTCCATTGGTTTTTAGATAAAGTAGAAGGGAGGGATGAAGAGAGGGAGAGAGAGAAACTGATGTGAGAGAGACACATCGATTGGTTGCCTCCCAAACAACCATGACCAGGGCCAAGGACTGAACCTGCAACCCAGGCATGTGCTCTTGACTGGGAATCAAACCCCAAACCCTATGGTCCACAGGCTGATGCTCTGACCACTGAGCAAAACCGTCCAAGGTCATTATTTTTTCTATTGTCAATTCTTACCTCAGGGGCCCTTATAACTTACTATTCTGTGTTTAAAATAACTTCCTCCTGACCCCTACCTATAGACTCTCTCTACTCCCCAATCAAACCAAGATATTATCAACAGGTTACTCCTTTAAAACTCTGCTTTGACCATGTCCTTTCACTGCTAAATAACTTCCACAGCCTCTCTATTCCCTCTGGAATAGATTATTTAAATTGGAATACAATTTAAATAATCTAACCTGGTATTTTAAAACCTTTTTCAATTAGGTTCCAATCTACTTAATCAGATTTACATCCTAGTCTGTCAGCTCACCCATTATAATTCCTGTTTTTGCCCAACCATGACTGGTCATACTGTACTTCCTGCCTTTGTCCATATTTTCTTCTCATCATTGTTGATCAATATCTCACCCATTCTTCGAAGCCCCAGTGTCACCTTCTTCTTGAAGCTTTAGTCACCTTAGTTGGAAAAGCTAGCACCCTCTCTCCACACACATATACCACTCTGCACAGATTGTCTTGTATGTTTTCAAGTCAGCCTCTCCAAGTAAATCATAAGATCATAAGATACTTGAGGGCTTTTTACATCTCTACCTAGATCAGTACCTTGAACAGAGCAATACTTCTACCTACTAAATGAGTCTGCCAGGGTTAGACTACAGAAATAGTTTAATGACCAGAGAATGTGGATCAGGAAACTGACATTCTGGTCATGAGCTATTCTGAAGAATCATGGATATATGATTAAGTCATTTAATCTTTTTTGAACTGCAATTTCCACATTTGGAAAAAAAAGGACACATATACAAAATGCATTGGCAGGACACAAGATGAGTATATTAAAGAACTCTGAAAGTAAAAATGCAATAAACAAGTACTTAATTAATGTTCTTGTTGGTGGGAACCTCTTTTCCTAGCCATAGGCTGCACTGCTAGCTTTGGGGGACTCACCGTGCCCCTTCTGAGTGCAAACTGGATGGAGTCAAGGTCAGTGACAGGGCACCAGACTTCTGCAATCAGACACTTTTGGGTCACGTCTATATTGCACAGGTTCAAGGTGTGGTAGATGGCCTTCATCTTCCGCACTTTGATGAACCAGACACGGATGTTCTTAGCAGCCGCCTGCAGAACCCTTTGGCGGTGATCCTCTGTTTGATTCAAAACCTTTGGGAGAGAAAGGAACATGGGAGAAATCCTTCTAAAACCAGTCTTAAATCTCAGGATATGAATGGTGGCAAAAAGGCTCGACTTTCTGAGAAGGGTTGCTGGGGATTTTTTTTCCCCTTTCTTTGACTAGAATGGCTATTTGGGGGGCGGGCAAATTATAAGAAATTAGAGTTCTAGATACTAAGATTCATTTTGTTTTGCTTCAAATTCAAGAGAAATCTGAGAAAATGGTTTTTACCTTTGCACTATACATTTAATCTTACCACCAAATCTATGGCACAACAACGTAGGTCATTGGCTTTTACTTAGATCATTCAAGAGTGGTGGCTTTCCGGGTGGAGCCTGTAACTCAGACTCAAAGAATTCAGCATCACAGTACCAGGCGTTGACAAAGCAACAAATCCATACGGAAGAACAGCAAGCTGAATGTAAGCCAGCATCAGGGGAACGACAGGAAAGAGGCAATGCTGAACATCACCGTCGGCCTATGCCAAGAGAGACCCCATAACAAGAGACAGGAGACACTGGAGTCAGGAGGATCAGGACTTGAGTGGGGATTTAGACTGCCACATACCACTGTCATCACGGGGCAGATAAGGCTTCCTGTCAGGTATGCGGGGAAAATGTTTCAGTGCTGACCCTTGGAAACCAGTACAGATCTTCCTCAGAGGGATCATATTGCCAAGACTAGAGCAGGAGAATGGGGCAGGGACACTTTACATTCTACTGCCTTATTTATCACCAAATATTTAAGATGTTAATAGCAGAAAAGAGCTAAGCTAGAATTGGGCAAGCAACCCACCACTCATATTTCTGCAACCCACCACTCATATTCCTATCTTAAATCTCTACATTTCTTTGAAGAGGAAAAAACTACATACTAATCATTTTAGCACATGTCTCCATCATAGCTCTTCAAGTCAGTTCAGAAAAATAGTAACTACTCCCTGAAAAACTGTCTTGGGTAGTAGAATGTGACTTCCATAGAGAGGTTTACAAAAAATAAAAGGAGCCATGGCACACTAGGTAAAGTCTTAGATCACTTGAGGATAAAGGAACAAAGCTACTTTTTCTCCTTCTGGCTGTTGACGATTACTACTATAACTTCTGGAAGGACACAAACTAAACTTAGAAGCAATGTTCTATTTGCTTTTTTCTTTTGCTGTCTCCCATCCCCATATCTCATTCCTTGGTTTCAGTTCATACAGCTGGGTTACGCATACTCTTTAAAATCTACCCACAAGCCTGGGAGGGGATAAGACAGTCCTAGAACCCAGAACGTACTAATATGGCCTATCACCCACCAACAGTTCGGGTTAAACAGGTAAGTATAACTCAAAGGAACCAGAAGTAGATCAAGTTGGTGGGTCACATACAATGGGGGTTGGAGGGAAAGAGGAGGGTACTGAAATGGGAATTACAACATATCTCTGACAATTTTGTCACTGCTGGAAAGAAATGCCTTTGGGATTGGTATGTTTATTAATGTTTCAAGGGGCACGTTCTTTCAACAGGAAACAATACTCCAACTGGCTATCCTTTTCCTTCCGTGTACACATAAATCATGACTCCTTTCTTAGAACCCTGTGACAACCATGGTGTGTGTAAACCACACTCACTGCAGTTTGGTAAGAATCTAACACAGTCCCTTCCTGGGTACAAGAGTTATGCTAGGGCACTTTGGCTGGAATGTGTGGTTAACATCTAAGATGACCAGAGTGGTGCACTCCAAGCTGTTGAGCGTGGCTGCCTCTGGGGACAAAGTGTGTGTGTGAGAGGGCGGAACTGACTTTGCACATACTTCTGTATTACTTGATTATTTTTTCCTCAACTAAGCATACTTTTGACTTATGAGGAGGAGAACTGAATACTCTAAGCAACAGCAATTTCAGATGCATAGCATTCCTGTCTCATTTGAGGATGATTAATGCTATTTTTTTTTTTTTATCCTCACCCGAGGACATGTTCCCATTTTTTGTACAGATTGAGTGGGAGGGAGAGAGAGGAAGAGAGAGAGAGGGAAACATCGATGTGAAAGGGACACATCGAGTGGCTACCACCCGCACAACCCAACCAGGGCTGGGGACAAACTGCAACCGAGGTACATGCCCTTAGCGGGAACCAAACCCGGGTCTCTCTGGACCGCAGGCGGATGCTCCAACCGCTGAGCCAAACTGGCCAAGGCCTATTTTTAATAGTCATTCCATAACACTTTTCCCAGCTCCCAAGGGGACATTTCTCTTTTCTTTTTGGTATCAGGCCATATCCTGAGTTGCTGTACGTGTCTAATAAACTGTGTTTCAAAGGAGGAGCTTGGTCTTCTATTTCAATATTTCACAAAAACAAATTCCCTTCAACCCTCTGCGTACCATTTGGAGATCATCAATCCTGGTATTAACTCCAGAAGCCATTTCCTTCCTCTCCTGGGGTGTCTCAGGACAGGGATAGAGTGAGGCCCGGAACCTGAAATGTATAGACACAGCTTGAGGAGTGTGTACATTTCTTAACCAAATAATCTCAGAAAGTAACCCTAATTTATTAGAAGGACCAAAACAGGATTCGTTCAGACTGATGTAGTAATCACTAATAATTATTTATGGGAAGTGGCCTTCAGATAGAGCAGGAACATTTGAACTATCTTGACATTCTCTGTAGCGATTAAATTCCCTTAGATTAAAAAAACAAAAACCAGTAATGCAAGTTATATTAGAAAAATGGCACAGAAGAAAGATCTTATGGGCAGAATTTCAGAAAAGTTTAAGGGCACAGTGCCCAGGCACATGGCTGGGTATGCAGACCCATTGTCCCAGAACAATGTAGCATTTATAAATCATGAATTCTAATTACTTTTTTTTAAAGAAAGGGAAACTGGTATTGACAGTACTTTGAAAACTGAACTTGGGCCATTTCTAAGTGTTTAAAATAGCCCTAACCTTATTAAAAGATGTATTCACCATGTCAAGGTAAAATAAAAGGGTTGGGTTTCACTATTCTATATTCTAAGGCTTACAAGAGTTAGGCTGCATGGCTGCACCCCGGGGAGGCACATTCCTCTTACCCTTCACAGATTTTCTTGACTCTGTTTTTCAGCTGATCACCTTGGAAGAAAATGATGAACACAGACTTGTGCACGTAGTCACCCTAGGCCCCAAATTGAAAACCTAAAGTTCAGACTTCTAATTCGGAAGAAAGCTTCTTAAGTAACTTACTTTCTTGGTGATAAAGGAACAACAAGAATCCTTTAAGGATATCCTGTACTTGAACCACTATCCTCCATCCATTTCATAAGCTCCACTACAAGAACAGTTGCCCTGTAATTACTAAGTCACAAAAAACTTCTGTATTTGTTTTTGAACTTAACCATGAGCTTGACATAGACTCTAAGATGATTCTCCTTTTAGCACAATTTAGCGCCATTTACCAATTCTACTTTATATCTTCTATTGCCTGAATGCCCCAAGTGCAGAGAAAAGAGAAGAAAGACATTCCTGTCTGTTCCCATGCTTAGAAATTCCCAGATAAAGAGAACTGGATAACTACAAGGAACTGAGGCGCTGGGAGAATGCTGATGTAGAAATTTCATGATCCATGCCAATTTAGACTTTAGGGGCCGTGGTGGAAGGCAATCCATTCCAAATACCAAGTTGACACCTGAAGTCTTATGCAAAGGCAAGAAGGAAAAATTAGAAAAATTAGCTATACTGGGTGTTAACCAGAATTAACTCTAGTTGTCTGTTTTTTCTCATATTCCTATGGAACTTTTATAATAAGGAAACAAGCAATTAAAACTTTAGAAGGCCCTGACCAGTTTGGCTCAGTAGTTAGAGCATCGGCCCATGGTCTGAAGGGTCTCAGGTTCAATTCCCAGTCAAGGGCATGTACCTGGGTTGCAGGTTTGATCCCTGGCCTGGGTCAAGGTTGTGTGGGAAGCAGCCAATTGATGTGTCTCTCTCACATGGATGTTTCTCTCTATCTCTCTCCCTCCCTCACTTCCACTCTCTCTAAAAATCAATGGAAAAATATCTCTGGGTGAGGATTAACCCCTCCCCCCCAAAAAAAAACTCTAGAAGGATAAAAGGGAATGAAGAGTAAAAAAGGTAAGGCTCAAGACTCTTAAATTCCTAAATCCTCTAGGAATAAGCTGGTGCACAGTCTTGGTGCAGCTGCTCTGTTGTAGCTATCTATATATCCAGAACCCCCTTTCCTTAATTTGTTGGTAAAATGGTTTCTGTTGCCCAGACAGTTGGCTGAAGATGCCCACATTAAGTGTGACTGCACACTGCCATGTCTTCACAACGCAGCTGTCAGTGAGGCTGTAAATCTGCTCCTCGGGGTCAGGGGACACCACAACTTAAGTGTCACCATATTCCTACTACAATATGGAGGATACAAATTATATACACTGGGTTATTTTTAGCTGCAGGACCCATCTACTCTGAGAAGTCTCACAGTTCAATCTCTCTTCTTAGGTAGGGCTAAAAATACTAATTTAAGAAATCCAAAAGATAATTTAGAACAAATAGAAAACCCCACAACTTTAGGCTTCTAAATACTAATACAAACGTGAAGTAAATTTTTTGCAGAACATTTAATCTTCTTTGCTTGTGATCCCTGAAATCAGGACTCTCCGTACTTAATATAGGCTTATGTTAAGAACTCTGTCCCATTATGTCCAATGCTAAAATGTTAAGCTGTTCCTATTTTCCAGAGCATTGGGTGGGGAAGAGCTTCCTACTTTGCAAAATGTGTATTTTAAAACTAAGTTTCTAAACCTCCCAACAAATAAGTAGACAATAAAAACTACCAGCTAAAATTTCATAAACTTACAGAGATCATAATTTAGGGACTCTCTCCTCTTTTTGCATATCAATATTACCAAACTTGGAACCAGATGTCTTACTTTAAGTTAACTTTCATAGAAGGTTACTTTTCTTTTGGTCCCAGGTAAGTAACAGAAAACATATAAAGTTAAAGGTTAAAATAACTGAGAAAAAAAACCATATACACAATCAAAATAATAGACAAGTATAGCTTTAAAATGTATATGTACATGTCATGTACAAAAATGTACACAAATGATGGAAGTTAAGAGGAAAAGAGCAGTCCCTCAAATTTGCAGATTAAAGCAGGGGTAAACATAAGGGGCCCTCTGGGGGAGGGTCAGAGTCCAGGGGGCACCGTGCTGTGTTCCTACTCTGAGCTCTCTTTACAAGACCTATCCCACGGGACACAATTTCCTTGTCTTACAGTCACAGGGTCCTCCAGGGGGTTCTCGATTTCAGCCTGTCGCAGGAACACATTGCCCCGGCACACTCGCCAAAGCATGCGCTCAAAAGTAGGGATGCGCTCCCGGTTAATCACACCAGCCACGAAGCTGTGGGAAGAAAAGCCACATTGGGAAATCGAATCCATGCCCTGGGATGGAAGGCTTTAAGGCAAAGGAGGAAAGTACGAATGGAGGGACAAAGACGACAAACATGAGGCTACACATTGTTATATCAAAGGGATTGCTTAAGTTTTATTCCTGGTTCCAGAAGAGAGCTGCCAGAACACAAGTCAGGAACTGAACCCAAACCGACTTAGGGATACCTCTTAACAGGCTCAGAGAAGAGAGCATTCTGGAAGCAAGTGAAGGCCCAGCTATTTGCTCTTTTAAACAGCAAAAATGAACTTGACCCCCCTGAGTACGGAGAGTTGAGATGGTACTTACCCCAGTCTTAAAGGTGTGCCTCTTCCCATCTCACTTGGCTCCAACAGGGATGAGGACTCTTCCAACAGGTCTGGATCCGCCATCTGCTGATGATGCAATTCAGCCTGAATTCACAAATCAATTAATATCTATTGAAAATAGTTAGTGGCATGCAGGGAACGAGGACCCAGGAGATAAGTTCAGAAAATAAAGATAAGAAACAAACCACCAAAAGGAAAGACATACCCACAAAAAGAAGACATGAAGAATAGGGAATGAAAACCAAGGAAAGAAACAAGAGGTAAAGAAAGCATAACTGCCCCAGTAAAGCATCTGGGGAAATGGTTTAAGAAATAAGGAATAAAAACAAAAAAAAACATTAAATGATGGTGATATGTATAAATCTTACTTGGTGGAAGCCATTTTTTTCTTATATTTTCCTAAATGAGTCATGAAAGTACCAGAAAATACCCTTTCATGCGAATATAAGCTGAAGTGTTTCTTCCTTTTGTGCAAAAACAAGGCAGCAAGGCAGGTACTCTCAACATCAAATGGCCAGGCAGTTACAAACTAGAATTTTCCCTGTGTAAGAATGTGAAAGATGGAGACTCTCTTTCTAAGGAAGAAAGCAAGGCAGTGTCACTGTCTTAAACACAGTGTATGATCTGGAGAAAGGCAGAAGAGGCATTTCTAGATATCTTAAAAATGCAGAATATGAGAACTTTCAGCATGGCCACTGTATAAAATGCTCTAAACCATGGGATTTAAAGAGTATTTCTTATCTGGCTGGTGTGACTCAGTGGTTGAGCATCGACCCATGCACCAAGAGGTCGCCAGTTTGATTCCCGGTCAGGGCACATGCCCAAGTTGTGGGCCCAATCCCCAGTGGGGGGCATGCAGGAGGTGGCCAATTGATGTTCTTGCTCATTGATGTAACTATTTCTCTTTCCCTCTCACTTCCTCTCTCTCTAAAATCAATAAAGAAAAAATAAAATAAAATAAAAAATTTAAAGAATATTTCTTTCTCCAAAAGGATAAGAAGCACAATAGGTGGCCAGGCCTGGGCCTCCACTGCATCCATAAAGAGAAGAAAAAGTGAAAACATATCTGAATGTCCTAGTTTCTAAGCAGGAATCTAAGAATATTAAAAAGTTCATGTAGGCTTTGCAGTTTCAGGATTCTTGAGAACACAGTTTAATCCAACAACGTAAATCAAATGAGGTGAAGAGAGTAACAGGTATTAAGCCAATATAGAGTGTGTGTGCTAGTTTAACTGTTTAGATTTAAAATGATTTCCACCATGACAATTTATACAACAAAATGAAGGAGGAAAGGGACCTTCTCAGATAAGCTGGGTCTATGTTTCTTAGCCTCTCTCTATGCAACGGATTCTACCTACCATCTTTTACTCCCATCTGGAAGCAAAAGCTGCCCTAAAAAATAAAGGCCAATAGACTTCTCCGCTGCCTGATCTCTCCAACTTTAATATCCAAGCACTTCTTGTTTGACCAAACACTAGGAGTAAGTCAGAATAATCTTCCTTTTCAAAAGCAAAACTAGCCCTGGCCGGTTTGGCTCAGCGGTTGGAGCGTCAGCCTGCGGTCCTGAGAGACCAGTGTTCCTGAGAGACCAGTGTTCGGTTCCCGCTAAGGGCATATACCTCGGTTGCGGTTTGTCCCCGGCTCTGGTCAGTCGTGCGGGTGGCAGCCACTCGATGTGTTCCTTTCACATCGATGTTTCTCTCTCTCTCTCTCTCTGTTCCTCTCTCTCCCTCCCACTCTACCTGAACAAAAAAAAAATGGAAAAATGTCCTCGGGTGAGGATAAAAAAAAAAAAAAAAAGCAAAACTAGCCCTAGCCAGTTTTGCTCAGTGGTCAGTGTGGTGGCCCTTGGACCAAAGAGTCTTGGGCTCAATTCCTGGCCAAAGGCATGTACCTCAGTTTTGGGTTCGTGCGGGTGGCAACCAATCGATGTGGCTCCTCTCACATCGATGTTTTTTTTCTCTCTCTTCCCTCCTTCCCTCCCACTCTATCTAAAAACAAAAAAACTAAACAAACCAAAATATTAGGAAAATTTTTCTCCATCATTTTCATTTCAAATTTCAAGATTCTACTCCTGTCAACCCATTACAAAAAAACACCTCACGGGAACCTCAAATGTAAGCCTGAAAGCCTTAAAAAGTGAAAGCAAGTGTTTTGGGAAGTAAATTCTAAAAGCAGAATCAACTTTGATCCAAAAAAAAAAAAAAAAAAGAGGGAAGGACAGAGAAATACTGTCATGACATTTAGAAAAGCTTAAGATGGGATAATGGGCCACAGGTTACCATTTGCTGTCAAATGGAGTTGAGGGGTTCTTATTGTTTCTACTTAAAGTCAAATAAGCTGACTACAGGCCACAGGCAATTTATTTTGAGGACCCAGATGACTACCACATTTCAACTTGCTCTTGGGATGTCTCTTGGCAAAAATCAGTGAAACTGACAGCTGCTCACAAGATTTCTGCCTACTATCCTGTGTGGGCCATAAGACCTGGTTTAAATAAACCCTATACTGTAGAGCAGACTCAGAGCAAACATATATGCTTGAAATGGGACAAATGATGAAACAGCACTTAGATTACTCCAAAGACTGTATCTGGGACTGTCTTGGTATAAAAAAAAACAGAATTAAACTTAAAAACTTGCAATAATATTCTAATTCATAATTTCACTACTTCATACTTAAGAATCCTAAGTCTTGGCTTGTCTGAGTGGCTCAGTAGTTGAAGCATCGTCCCATGCACCAAAACGTTTCAGATTCAACTCCTGATCAGGGTACATATCTAGGTTGTGGGGTTTTTTTTTCCTTTAATCCTCACCCCAGGACATTTTTGCATTTATCTCCAGATAGAGCAGGAGGGAGAGGGGGGGAAGAGAAAGAGAAACATTGACTTGAGAGACACATTAACTGGTTGCCACCCACATGACCCCAACCAGGGCCAGGGACAAACTGCAACTGAGGTACATGCCCTTAGCGGGAACCGAACCCAGGACTCTCTGGTCGGCGGGCCAACGCTCTAACCACTGAGACAAACTGGCCAGGGCTAGGTTGTGGGTTTAATCCCATTGGGATGCATATGGAAGGCAACCGATTCTGTTTCTCTCTCACATCAATGTCTCTCTCTCTCTCTCTCTCTCTCATATCAATAAAAACATATCGTCAAGCCCCGGCCAGTGTGGCTCAGTTGGTTTAGAACATCATATTGTATATCTAAGGTTAGCAGGTTTGATTCTCAGTCAGGGCACATACCTAGGTTGCAGGTTTGATGCCCAGTCGGGATGTAGACAGGAGGCAATCAATGTTTCTCTCTTTCTCTCTCCCCCTTCCTCCCTCCCTTTCCCTTCCTCTCTAAAAAAACAAACAAACGAACAAAAACACCCCACAAAAAATAACCTAAAAAACATCCTAGGGTGAGGATTTAAAAAAAAAAAATCCTAAGTCATAGAGAGGAAAGTAAAAAAAAAATTAATAAAATAATTGTGCCTGGCCCTGGCTGGTTTGGCTCAGCAGTTAGAGTGTCTGCCTGCGGTCCAGAGAGACCCGGGTTCGGTTCCTGCTAAGGGCACGTACCTCGGTTGCAGTTTGTCCTCATCCCTGGTTGGATCTTGCGGGTGGCAACCACTTGATGTGTCCCTTTCACGTCGATGTTTCTCTCTCTCTCTCTCCCTTCCACTCTATCTGAATAAAAAATGGAAAAATGTCCTCGGGTGAGGATAAAAAAAATAAAATAAAATAATTGTGCCTGGTGAGAACATAGGATGACCAGAACCACTAACCGAGGGCCTTTAAAGCCATTTCTAAAACCACATTGTCAAGTAGCAAAATCCTAATCTGGGTTCTCTAGTAACAATAACAACATTGCCAATGTTCCTCTAAATTACTTGCTACCTTCCTGTTGCCCCCTCTCTCAATCAGAACACTGAAACCATGCCTTGATAAAGGAAGTAGCAGAGCTTTTGTAGGTCAATTTCCACTCTTCAAGTATAAGCAGCACACATCCAGTTAAAGCTATGTTAATTACCAAGACCAAATACTTTCACTTCCATCTGTGTTAAGCGAGAAAATACATTCCCTTCCTCTTTCTCTAAAAATAATCTTTAAAAAAAAAAATAAAGAGAAAGAAATTACATTTCATCACCTAAAGTATTCACCCAAATCCCAAAGGAGATGGCAGATGGGAAAGAAAAGTAAAGAAAGCAGATGAATGGAAAACTCAGAAGGAAAGGAAGGCAGGGATCTGCATGCCATTAACCATTACTTTTCCAGTCTTCTTTACGTTCTCATATGTTATGGTGCTTATGGTAAAAGATGCAGAGAAATTTCTCCAGCTCTTACAGTTCTTCATACGCAAGAAGACTGAGAAAAGGATAATCATTAACAAGTCATTTTAAATGCTCTGGATAAGAAATGGCTATGTTGAATTTGCAATCATCTTAAATCATAAGAATACTCAATGTGTTTACCTTTCCCCTTCTACACCCTTCACCAATCATAACCTCTATACCAAAAGATGGGAAGAATCATTCTCTGACTTAGCCATTTTCTGCTAACTCAATATTATAAATTATTAATCATATTCATTAAAAAGAAGGCTTTGAAATCAGTAGTGTTTTAGGCCATTTGCAAACCTTTTTATTTCAGGCATGGAAGAAAATCTCATGAAAAACCTGTGTTTCCAAGATTTGAGGGTTTCGAGTTTCCTTATCTTTTGCATTATTTAAAGCGTGCCCTTGCCTGTGCTCATGCCCTTACTCCGTGAGATCTGGTCTCCTTGTTGTGGCTGGGAACCTGAGGCTGCTGTTCAGTAACAGCAGGGCAAGGGCTATTGAAAAGGACCTGGCTGAGGGTATGAGCTAGTGGCAAGAGCAAGGAGGCACCGACTGCGCAGCTGAAGAGAAAAGGCAGAGTGGTTCTTGCTAGATCTCCTGCTGTGGTGAGGGTGCTAGGAATGAGAGGGACTGATGACAAAAGCAGCGGAAGAACCTCTCATAGCCAAGGCCTCGTGTTCAAAAGTACTTCCAGAAATGTTTTGTTTTTTTCCCTAAATGTTTTGCTTGAGTAGGAAGGGAAACAACTCACCATGGATTGTGCAGGAAGGGATGAAGATCTAGAGCCTGCCTTCTCAGCATGGGCATTTCATGTTTAGACTTACTAATCACAGAGAAATTCCTAAATTGACAACTTACAGTTTTAAAATATCATCTTTCCAAGGGGTTCCTTTTGTTTTATTTTCACTATTTTTAAAAATTATAACATTAGCCCTGGCCAGTTTGGCTCAGCGGTTAGAGTGTCGGCCGGCGGTCCGGAGAGACCCGGGTTCGGTTCCCGCTAAGGGCACGTACTTCGGTTGCAGTTTGTCCCCGGCCCTGGTTGGTCGTGCGGGTGGCAGCCACTCGATGTGTCCCTTCACGTCGATGTTTCTCTCTCTCCCTTCCTCTCTCTCCCTCCCACTCTATAGAAAAAAAAAAAAAAGAAAAAAAAATTATAACATTAAAGTTTAAACAACTATTTCCTTTAAGGGAGTCCATTTGTCAGTCTTTATTCAGAATTTCTACCAGAATGAACTAGACTAGGAAGCCTAGTTCAATCCTTAAACTTGGGAGGTGATGAAGGACATTTTCATACTTTTCAGCAACATCTCAAAAACAAAAGACTGTATCAAAAGGAAAAAGGGGGGGGGGGGTGAAGAATTAAGCCCAAATGATGCTAAAAGTAGCTGAGCTTTGATCTTCAGGCCAGGTTTACATTGCATCTGTGGGCCGCAGCTTGAACACATTTAGAAAAGCACACATCTGTGAGTACACGGAGGCACTGTGTCTGGAATGTTTCCTGATATGATGACTAAGGATACATTCCTAGCATAGGGACCATGTCTTACTCATCTTATGCCTCACAAAAGTAGGTGTTCATCAAATGCTCAGTGAATTAATGAAGATAAATACAATGTGTAGGCAGTGAGCACACTGGAATTCCAGATTACTTGTTCATTAAAACTGTATGGCATAAGCGGCCATGCCTGTTGCAAAAGACCTGAAACACCTGTAAAGAGTTAATCACACTACCCCACACCCTCTAATGTGATGATAACAGGGGACTGGTGAAAGAAGTTATCATTGGTCTCAGAATTCTTGACTCATTGAGCAAGCTAAATATTCATACCAAACCTCTCTTGATAAATATTGCCAGGTTCTGATTCTCAGGAGGACCAGGCAATTAAATTCATAAGACCTTTCCCCCTTTCCCTCGCCTAAGCAGATCTTTTTAATTAGCATGGCTTTTCTAAGTCAACTCCTTAGTTACTGAGGAATGTATCACATCTTCAGCTGACTTTCTCTAGCACAGTGGTTCTCACACTAGCATGCCTTGGGATGTGGAAACAGACTGCTGAGCCTCACCTCAGAGTCTCTAAGTCTGGGGTGGAGACCATAATTTGCGTTCTGTTGAATTCCCAGGAAAGGCTGACGCTACTGTTTGGAGAACCCCTGTTCTAGTCTAAGAACTATGTGGAGTTGTTCTTTCCTCAAAATAAATTAAAAGTAGAACTGAGAACAGAGCAGATGCTAACCAAAATGGGTCCTCTATTTTTTTAAAAGTTTGCCACAAAAAAATTATTTTTTGAGCAAAGGAAACAAAGAACTTTATGGGAAGGCACACTGAACGGTGACTAGAACAAACTCTGAAGTGTCTGATGTTAATCAGGTGGCAAAGATACCTGTAAAAGAGAGAATTGCCCATATTTTAAGCCATCAGAAAAAGCACGTCCAGGGTGAAGCTAAGACTCCCTCCCAGGTTTAATTAGGAGAAGGGAGCTTTTGGAAAGCCCTGCTCCAAATCCTTCCCATGGGGTCACCTCAGCAAGCTGTTGACAATTTAGCCACCTACATTTTAAATCCAGAAACTTATTAACATTTTATCCTATATGGTAATGCAGTTGGGTTTATGTGAAAATCCAGGAATTCCAAGCACATCCTACCAATATTTTCATATAGTATTAAAAAAAAACGACTTAAAAAATTAAAGTGTGACATGTGCTGTCTAAAGTAGTTAAAAGTGTGCTCAAAGGTTGATGGGCAAACATAGAAATGAAATTAAAATTAAAATTTGATGACAAACAGTCTGGAGATTAAACCTTTGTTATAATTTCATGTGTAACCAAATGTTTCTTATTGCTTCAACTTTAACCTTAAATATTTACTTACCTTAAAATAGAATGTAAAAATTTCAACTAACTATATTTATACAACTATTTTAGGGTTCCTTTCCCCATCTTGAGATGAAAAAATTACAGAAAATGCAAAAATATACAAAACTATGCCTGGCTGTGTACTGCATGAAAAATGGAACAAAATCTGACAGTGAACATGGTACTGCTTTCAAACTAGCAAATTAAAATAATTATTGGAATAAAAATATGGCCCACTTGTGCAGGTATAATATCAGCTGCTCAAAACTAAAAGAAACAATAGTCTGACCTCATCAAAAAACTGCTGAGTTTTGCGAAGTATAAATTTTAATTCAGTCAGTTCCAGGAAGTTTCTCTTCAGAGCTTCCTGGTTTGTGTTGATTTCCTTCAGTTCATTTTCAATCTTCTCAAAATTAGCCTACAAAAAGGGTAAAGAAATCAGATTATTAACTACAACTAAGTTCAGTGAGCTTGCTCTGAAAGGCATAAATTCATTCATCTAACAGAACTCTTGCCACCCTGACAGTTATATCCACTCAGCAAATATGTGATTTCACCAGGACAATTTTCTTTATGAAAAACTTTGTTTAGCCCTGGCTGGTTTGCTCAGTGGTTAGAGTGTTGGCTTTCAGACCGAAGGGTCTTGGGTTTGATCCCCAGCCCTGGCAGGTGTTGTTCAGGAGGCAACCAACCAATGTGTCTCTCTCACATTGATGCTTCTCTCTCTCTTTCCCTCCTTCCCTTCCACTCTATCCAAAAATTAATGGAAAAATGTTCTCAGGTGAGGATTAACAACAACAGAAACATGTTTTGTTTAAAATCATCTTTGTTTATATATTCTTTTATACACTTAGTTGAATTTCTCAGGGGACTTCAGATAGATAAAATAAATAATGAAATCAATTGGCTATTCATTTATTTGTTCCAAGAGATTAATAAATTACTAGATAAATTGACATTAATCCAATACAGTTTCAATAAGCCAGTAAAAATTTATTTAGTGGCACATGATACTGCTCAACATACTGTTCTATATCATAAAAAGAGACTTCATTTTAACCCCATCAACGGGAAACTTGCAATCAATAAACAATGCTGACAAGGACAGCAAGAATTACTCTACTCCCCATCTACTCATACATTTCTACATTTAAGGAGCAAGACATTTGGCTTCCTCAAAATTGTTTACCTCTAAGTCAATCATGTCCCGGGGGAAGGGCACCTCTGGATTTTCACCAGTGTCCATAATTGGGATATTAGCTTTTCTTATCTCTTTCTCAACAAATCCTAAAATGACAGAATCAAAACATTCATGTATAGCACATGTCTGGAATTGCCAATATTTGATGAAAAAATAATAAGATGCCAAACCTGGCTAAAAAGAGCTTCATTCTAAGAAATATACTTTCACATAAAAGAAGCAGAACATGTAAACCATTTTTTTCTCTACATTCCTCTTCCTCCTACCCCACACTCTCTAAAGCACAGCTAACCCAAAGAAGGTCATCATTCCACTACTGTCTTCTTCATTCCCTCTTCTGATCTTCAAACTGGTCCACATCTGCTTTAGCTCTGCAGAGTAGGATGTCACCAGAACTGCTAACAGAGCTACAGAAGAGCCAATTCAATAGAGTATTTGACAACTCCAGATCAAAAGGGTCTCATTACATTGGAAAACAAACAGGTCAGTTTAAGTGAAACAAACAAAAAAAAAGCAAGCGGTAGAATAAGGCCCCAAAACACGAGAAGAGAAAAATGTTTCAGATGACAACTACTGACATTTTTTAGGATGGGGACCAAATTCACCTATCAGCTGAGAGCTGGCATAATATAAGAGCAAGGTCTGGGTTTTACAGTCAGACAGAACAACCTGGACTCAAATACTAATTCCATCATGACCACTTGCATTCTTGGTCCAAATCACTTAACCTCTCTGCTCTGATCTTTGGCTTCCTCGTTTATTAAATAAGGTTGACACCCATTTTGAAGGAATGTTGTAGGAAATGAATGAACTAAATTATGTGAACACCTAAGAGGACCTTAATAACTGTTATTTCTACTCTCATACATAAATAGCTCAGATTAAAAAGTGGTTATGCTGGCATCTAAAACTAATGGTGGTCTGGGTTCCAGCTCTCAGAATTCTATAATGTAATTTTGCTATAAAACCTTCCCACAAAAAAAAATAACGAGTGTTTTCAGCTTACAGCCTTGTCATCTCAAACAAGGTTTTCATTAAGCACTACCTAGCCCAAATACCACAAAATCTACTTGTATATTAGAAATTTCTCTTAACATCAGGGTCACAAAATTTTTCCTACCTTCTTTTTCTCCATAGTATTCCCTCCCTTTATTAAGAGGACTAGTGTCTCTAATTTAAGATAAATGACTCATTATAGGAACATCATACAAGAATAAAATGCACATACGAAGCTTTCGATCCATTTCTTCACATCTTCTAACTTCATTCACAAATTTCCGCTGGAAAACATTCACATCTGGATTTAACTGCAAAATAAGAATACAATACCAAATATTCAAACACTGCATCTATTTCCTCTGTTTCACAAGCAACACATCCTGCAAAATGAAAGCCTAATTTTGTGTCAATGTATGATGCAACACTAGTAAAAACTGTCTACTGATTCACTTTGGGGACAGTTGCACCAACTAAAGATAAAATCTCCTTCCTCACTGCTGCAAAATATTGGAATGGAGGCAAATTAGACAAAGTACAAAATGTTCTTCCCAGGCCAAAAGTCTCAGTGAACCCCCCTCCTCCACCACCACTAAAAACTGGGACCACTAATATAATAGAAACTCTGCCTGGTTTTCCTTCTCTCCTCCTTCCCAATCAGAAGAAAGAGAAGGCAAATTTCTCTTTTCTTCTGTTTTAGGTTCTTCACTTTCTAAGTGGCAGGCTGGTTCATTCATTCATACATCACAAGCAATTTTCAAAGCAATGTGACAGATATTCTGGGAAATACAAACAAGAATAAAACAACTTCCTACTCATTAAGAAACTTGCAATCTAGCAGACAGGAAACATAAACACAACCAATAAGATAGCACGTGATACATTCCATAAAAGTAATACAAATAAAGAACTCTGATAGTTACTCCAATGTTTATGGAGCAAGCACCAAATACGTGCCATACACTGTACTAGGCACTGGTGTAAATACAAAGAATAAGATACATACTAACTTTTAGAAGCTCAGTTTCATAGAAGAGACAGACACACTTCAATACATACATGTTGTTGTGATACATGCTATTAAAAAGTAAGTAAAATATTGTTGGTAGTTTCTTATACAATTAAACAGATACCTACCCACCACATGTCTGAGCATTCCACTACTAGGTACTTGTATAAGAAAATGAAAACATGTCCATAGAGACTTGTACCAGAATGTTTACAGCAGCTTTATTCTTAACCCCAAACTAGCAATGGCCCAAATGTCCATCAACAGGAGAATGGATAAAAACACTGTGTATATTCATTCAATGGAATATTACTCAGCAATAAAAAAGAATAAACTAAAGATAGCCACAAAACCAGATAAATCTCAAAAACATTAGACTGAGAAAAAAAAGTAAGACCCAAGAGTTTGAAATGTATGATTCCATTTACATAAAGTTCAAGAACAGGCAAAACTAATCGATGATGCTAGACATCAAAACAGTGGTTATCTAAGGGAGGGTGAGGATTGACCAGAAGTGAGCACAAAGTAACTTTCTGAGCTGCTACAAATATTCTGTCTTGATTGGGGTGGTAGTTACAACGATGTATACATTTACCAAAATCATTAACTTGTATACTTAAGGTTTGTGCACTTCACTGAACATAAATTTTACCTCCATAAAAAAAAAAAAAAAAAAAAATGTGAGGGAAAAATGAACACTAATTCTATCTGGGAAATAAAGAAAAAAAAATGTGCAAAGGTAACCACCTAAGCTGGGACTATGGAGGATGAAGCAAAAGTTTACCAAGCAGAAATATACATAATGGAAGCAGAAACCATGACAAGTGACTCACAGACATAAATAAATCATGTACTTCTGAGAAGAGAAGAAATTTACTATAGCTGAGGAGAGTGGGTGTGTAAGGAGTTGGAGAGAAGTAAAAGACTTTGACCCTCACCATCACAGTCAATTAATATTTGACAAAGGAGGCAAGAACACACAATGGAGTAAAGATAGTCTCTTCAACAAATGGTTTTGGGAAAATTGGACAGACACATGCAAAAAGATGAAACTAGATCACCAGCTTACACCATACACAAGAATAAACTCAAAATGGATAAAAAACGTAAATGTAAGTCGTGAAACCATAAAAGTCCTGGAAGAAAACATAGGCAGTAAAATCTCAGACATCTCACGTAACAGAATTTTTGCCAGTATATCTCCTAGGGCAAGAGAAATGTAAAAAATAAATAAATGGGACTACATCAAACAAAAAAGCTTCTGCATAGCAAAAGAAACCACCATCAAAATGAAAAGGGAACCCACTGTATAGGAGAACATATTTGCCAATGATACATCTGATAAGGGATTAATTTCTAAACTATAAAAGTACTCATACAACTCAACAAAAGGAAGACAAACGATCCAATTAAAAAATAGGCAAAGGGTCCAGCCAGTGTGGCTCAGTGGTTGAGCACCAACCCATGTACCAAGAGGTTGCCAGTTTGATTCCCAGTCAGGACACACGCGCAGGTTGTGGGCCTGATCCCCTGTTGGGGGCATGCTGGAGGCGGCCAATTGATGTTCTCTCTCGTAGATATTTCTCTCTCTCTCTCTCTCCCTCTCACTTCCTCTCTCTATAAAATCAATAAAGGGGAAAATTTTTTTTTTAAAAAATAGGCAAAGGACCTGAATAGACACTTCTCCAAAGAGGACATTCAAATGGCCAACAGATGTATGAAAAAATGCTCAAGAGTCACTAATCATCAGAGGAATGTAAATTAAAACCAGAATGAGCCCTGGCCAGTTTTGCTCAGCAGTTCGAGCGTCGGCCCAAGGAACAGAGTCTCCAGTTTGATTCCAGTCGAGGGCACGTATCTCGGTTGCCTTTCTGTACCCAGTCCTGGTCGGGATCATGCAGGAGGCAATCAATCAATGTGTGTCTCTCACATCAATGTTTCTCTCTCTCCCTCCCTCTCACTCTGTCTGAAGATAAATGGAAAAGTATCCTCCGGTGAGGATTAAAAAAACAACAAAAAAACCCAGAATGACATATCACCTCACACCTGTCAGAATGGCTATCATCAATAAATCAACAAACATGTGCTGGCGAGGATGTAGCGAAAAGGGAACATTAGTTCACTGCTGGTGGGAATGCAGACTCATACAGCCACAATGGAAAACAGCATGGAGTTTCCTCAAAAAATTAAAAATGGAGCTGCTGTTTGACCAGCAATCCCACTTCTGAGAATATATTCTAAAAACCCCGAAACACCAATCACAAAGAATATATACACCCCTACATTCACAGTAGCGTTATTTACAATAGCTAAGATTTGGAAGCAGCCCTAACTGCCCATCAGTGATGAGTGGATATAAAAGCTGTGGTGCATTTGCACAATGAAATACTATGAAGCTGTAAAAAAGAAGACACTCTTACCCTTTGCGACAGCATGGATGGACCTGGAGACTATTATGCTAAGTGAAATAAGCCAATCATAGAAAAACAAATATCACATGATCATACTTATTTGTGGAATCTAATGAACAAAATAAGTCCCCAGGCATGGAATAGACTAACATATCTTGGGGTAGAGGAGGACAACAGAGATAACCAAAGAACTTATATACTTATATGCATAGCCCATGAACACAGACAATAGTGTGGTGAAGGCCTTGGGGGGGGGATTGGAGGGGATAGGCAAAGGGGAATAAATGGGGGACATCTGTAATACTGTGAACAATAAATATATATTTTTAAAAATGACTTTGTCTTATGGGCAATAGGGAATCAAATGATCTGACCTTTTATTTTAATTAATTAATTAGTTAATCAATTTTTTTAAAGAGGAAGGGAGAGAGAGAAACATCCATGTGCAAGAGAAACATCAATCAGCTGCCTCCTGCATGCCCCCTACTGGGGATCGGGCTCCCAACCTGGGCATGTGCCCTGATTCGGACTCTAACTGGGACCTCTCAGTCTATGGGACTATGCTCAATCCAGAGCCAAATCCGCTGGGCTGATCTGACTATTTTTTTAGATAGAGTGGGAGGGAGGGAGGGAGAGAGAGAGAGAGAGAGAGAGAGAAAGAAAGACTGTTTGCCTCCCACACGACCCCGGCCAGGGCTGGGGAATGAACTACAACCAAGGTACATGCCCTTGACCAGAATCGAACCCGAGACTCTTTGGTCTGCGGGCCAACACTCTAACCACTAAGCCAAACCGGCCAGGGCTTCATTGATTTTTTTTTAGATAAAGTGGGAAGGAAAGAGAAACATTGATGTGAGAGAGACACATTATCAGTTGCCTCCTGTAGGACCCAAACTTGCTGGGGATCAAACTTGCAAACCTGGCATGTGCCCTTGACCAGGAATTGAACCCCTGATCCTTTGGTCCTCGGGCCAACACTCTAACCACTGAGCCAAACTGGCCAGGGCTTAAATATACTTTTTAAAGAATTACTGTTTTAATCCAGCCAGTGTGGCTCAGTGGTTGAGCATCGACCCACGCACCAAGAGGTTGCCGGTTCGATCTCTGGTCAGGACACATGCCCAGGCTGTGGGCCCAATCCCCAGTGGGGGGCATGCAGGGGGCAGCCAATCGATGTTCTCTCTAATCGATGTTTCTATCTCTCTCCTTCTCACTTCTTCTTTCTCTAAAATCAATAAAGGGGAAAAAAGATTTACTGTTTTAAAGAATAATATTGTGTGTGAAGAATGAACTGTAAGATAGAGACTGGTGACAGATAAGCTAGTAAGAACATTATTAGTATTATTATATTAATATTAGACAGAAGGAATCTAAGACAAAAAACATTATTAGAGATTAAAAGAGACACCACATAATGATAGTAAGAAAAAGTCTCAGGAAGATGCACAATGCTAAACTTATATGTCCCTAATAAATTGTTTGTGTTTTTTCACTGAGCAGGCAGTACTTTGGCTTCTCATTCAGAATTTCTACTTCAATAAACATGAAGTGAAAGTAGCCACGAGAACTACTGGTTTCATAATCAGAGAAAGGTTCAACTACAGCCACCCACAGCCTGTTTTGGATAAGGCATGCTCAAAATATTTCAAACAAAAATTAACAGAACTACAAGGAGAAACTGACAAACCTGTCTATGCAATGGGTAATTTTAGTGTAACTTTTATGTTACGGATACATCAAATCTACTAAATAATGATAAAGTTTGAACAACATAATTAGCTTAATCTAATACATACACACAAAGACATATATATATATATATATATACTTAATCCCTGCATCCAACAGTTTTCTCTTCGGTAATTCATTTATAAACTGACCACAAAATAGG